TTTCACGCATCGTTGTTCGTGAAATATGTTCGGGGAATTTTAACTAGAATATCAAATGAAAATGTGGAGCATGTTCAATGTTTCGAAATGAATTGGTTTGTGCGCTTACAACCGCACAACTTACAACTTCAGTCAGGGAGAGGACACTGGCGAAAAAATTCGAAAAAACGGAAATTAAAACAGGCTAACCAGATTTCAGAGGAAATCAAATGGAATTGTTGATTGGAATAGGGAAAAAATGGAGAAATTCAAATTGATTTGTATTCAACCATAAAATGGAGAAAAAACAAAGTTTTCACTTTTAGAACTCCGTTGCCTTAGTGACTCCTTTATTCAGCTTATTAACTTACATTGGAAACAAGTTAAAAGGTATCAGTCGGTTTTGCCGACAGATATATGCCCTCAGACACTATCCATTTGATTTAATATATTGTGACTTGTGTATGATTACTCCAACTGTTGACCCTTTATTGGGGTAGTTCTGAAGCAAAGAAGTGGAACAATTATTATGATAGCAATTGTTAAAATTTTTGTGGGAGGTACAAAAAGGTGTGTGGCGTCAAGGAAGTGGACGGAAGAAAACAGCAACATCAGTACAAATGGTTCGAAAAGTAAAGAAGCGACTTGATCGAAACCCGCATCGCAGTGGTCGAAAAATGGTTCGTAAGCTGAACATATCGCAATATTTCATTCGGCAAATATTAGAAAATGAGTTCGGGGTAAAGCCACTGAAATTCCAAAAAGTGCAACAACTTACACCACAACAGAAAGAAAATAGACTCAAAAGAGCTGAAGAGTTGCCTCGCTTGGCCGAAAGTGGTGAACTGCCGAATTTTGTTTTCTCCGATCAGTCAACATTCGTTGGCCACCAGAACTCAAGCGTCGGCCATGGTGATGGTGTGGGTCGCCATAACAGCCGATGGTCGCTCTTCGTTCGTATTAATCGACCGTGGCATCAGAACAAATGCCGAATAGTATCGCGAAAATATTCTGGATGGTGTACTAAAGCTTTGGGCATGCAAATTTTTTGGCCGCAGACATTGGACATTCCGAAAGGACTCAGCACGCGTCACCCAAGAATGGTTACAAAATGAGGTTCCTCGCTTCATTTCCAGTGCACAAGGCCACCAAAATCTCCGGATACCAATTCGTTGTACTATTGTGTCTGGAGTATTTTGGAAAGCAAGGTTGGCACTTAAAAATTACCAAGCAAGCGCTTCGCCGGGAATAGGCCAAAATACCGCAGAGCAACATTCGGGAAGCTTGTAACGGTTTCATGACCGTTTGGAGGCCAAATGTGACCAATTCGAACAAATGTAAACTTCCTCTAAAATGTGATGCTATTTCCGACATTTTTTGGTTTTATTCAATAAAATTAAAAAAAAAAATCTAAAAACTATGGCGTGTGACTTTATTGCAGTTTTTGAATATTGTCACCCTTTGTGGGGGAAGTACCAGGAGGGCTGGACCGATACCTGTCATCTTCCCATCAGATCTTGCGTTAGTAAAAATATTGGGATGTTTGAAATTATAAGAGAGTCGGATGCTTATTTCAAAATTATTCAAAATTTTGACGTTGTGGGGTAGGTACCAGAAGTAGTGGTCCTTATAGCGGTTCTTTGTACCAGATATTGTATTAGTGAAAATATTGAGATGTGCGAAATTTGAAGACTATCGGACTTATTTTTTACATTTTATTACAGTTATAATAGTTCCAATATTGGAGGTACCGTTATATGGGGGCTATACGAAAACGTGGACCTGCACAGACAATTTCCTGTCATGGGCTGTAGCATCTATTACGTTGACTAATTGTTTAACCTCGCCTAGCCATCATTTGCATCTCATTGTCCCTGAATCGTAGCCTTGAGGCTATGAACTTTCTCCAGAGTTTATCTCAATAAAAACCATTTACCAAGAGTTCCGTTTTTTCTTCATTTGTTTTATTCTCCTTCAACAATTAACCAATTATAATAATTGCTCCATCTTCAATTTAATTTAAATGTCCTGCCGTTTCGCAAAACCTTGCAAAACAAAAGTCCACTAGTTATGTGCAAAAATTGTCTCTTCTCGCCTTATCTTATTTTCACTGTCATCCTTCTTGTTTTTCCAGTTTCTTTCTTTTGTTGTTATGTATTATTTTTACTGTTATTGTGTTGGGTACTTTCTCTCTTTAATCGCTCTCATCCATTGAGTCTGTAAAGTTGTTGTTTTTGTTGTCGCTACTTTCTTATGTTTTATGCCACTTAACAGCGCATAATAGGGACTAAGAAGGCGCCGGCAAAAAGTGACATTAGCCAGCGTCTTAGCAGGACATTTTTGTAAATAACTAAATAGAATGAAAGGATTTTTGTGACCGAGACAAGTTGAAATGTTGACTTCTTAAGTGTGCTAAGTACTAAAGTAAATGATAATTACTGTTGAGAAAGTTTGTCAATAAGTGTTTGGAGAAGTGGTTAAATTCTAAGAAATTGTGAAAATTATTTTCTTTTTCCGTACCCACATAAGTGGGATATTTTGCCTCATTTTCCGCTTAGATTCCTTCTCCAAAGGACTTCAACTAATCCAACTCTATGGTCTTTGCTGGTACTTTCCTGCCAAATTCTCTAAAAAAAGTCTTAATGTCTGCCCCAAAGACTTTACGGTGTTATAATACCTTCCACCTTGTCATTCCTTTTGTAACATCCCTTAATATTCATCGTAGATCCCACAAAGTATATATATTCATAATCTGCATAAAATTCTAAGTCGATTCAACGATGTCCGTCTATCTGTCTGCCTGTTGTAATCACGATACAACACAGATTATTTGACGTAAACCTTCAAAATTTGGCAGAACAATTTGTATTGTATTTAGGATGTTTTATATTGAAAATGAGATATACCGGTCCACGTTTTGGTATAGCCGCCATATAACGATACTTCCCGATATTCGGTATTTTGATTTTTGATTTGTCTAAAAATTAGTATTTGTAGGTCGTAATGGGTTCTAGTTCCGGTGGCGAAATATTGTATAAATAGATCCACCTTTGGAATAGCCGCCATATAACCGTAATAATGGTAATGTTTACCAGGCGGTAAGGCAGGGAATACCTAGGTTTCGGAAAGAACCACCAATCCTCATCAGTTCTCTTGTTTTTTGTCTGGGATATTCTCCCCCGAAGTTATTTTAAAAATAACTTCTATGACGAAAAACATTTTCTACCCAAGTGACCCAAGATCGTAAGCTCAATAGAAGAGGAACCAAAGAATTAAATAAAACTAAAATTCTTTTGGAAAATCTTCTAAATCTTACAAGTGGAGAAAGATGTAAATATTTATAAGTGCTGTTGTAAGATTTCGAAGATTTTCCAAAAGAATTTTAGTTTTATTTAATCCTACGTTTGATTGTTTGGTGCAAAATCAAACGTAAATCGGACGAAGTTATATATGGGAGCTATATCCAAATCTGAACCGATCTCGATAAAATTTAGCAAAGGTATTTCTGAGCTGCATTTGATATATTTCCTCAAATATTGTTGTTACAGAGTGCATATTACGGCTGCGGAGGACAAAAATAACTAATCGGATGAACAATATATATGGGAGCTATAGCTATATCTGAACCGATTTCGATCAAATTTGGCATACTTATTTTAAGGCCTAATTTGGTTGTATGTGCAAAATTCCATACTATTCGGGCTGATATTACACGTTTGATGCACAATAAAAGGCAAATCTGATGAATGTATATATGGGAGCTATATCTAAATTTTGACCGATTATCTCCAATTTCAATAGGGTTCGTCCTTGAGCCAAACAAATGGTATGTGCAAAATTTCATCTCAATCATACACTAAATGCGAGCTGCATTTTGTTCACAAAAATACATGGACAGACGGACTGACATGCATAAATCAACTCAGAAAGTGATTCTATGGAGATCCTCAAATGTAACTATAGGTCTATCTCGCTTCCTTCTCCATGTTACAAACAAATGCACAAAGACATAATACCCTTACCACTATGTGGTGTAGGGTATAATTAAAATGCCAAAATAATGCTAAACATAAATGCGTTTTTATACCCTCCACCATACTATCAAGGGTATATTAACTTTGTCATTCTGTTTGTAACTTCTTGAAATACTCATGTCAGACCCAACAAAGTATATATATTCTTGACCAGCGTAAAATTCTAAGTCTATTTAGCTGTGTCCGTCTTCGTATAGCCCCCATATAACGGTACCTCCCAATATTCGGTATTTTGATGATTTTAGCGTCATTATTCACCAGAATTGTTTCAAATTACGTATTTAGAGTTCGTAATTGTCAAATTGTCTGTGCAGGTCCAGGTCTTCCTATAGGTCCCATATATAAGTACCTCCCTATATTCGGTATTTTGACGAGTTTAGGTACAATACCCACCGAAATTGTTTGAGATGTCGTATTTGAAGTTCGTAATGGATGCTACAGCCTGTGACAGAAAATTGTCTATGCTGATCCAGGTCTTCACACAGCTCCGATATAACGGTACCTCCCTATATATACGATATTTTGATGATTTTAGCTACATTATTCACCGTTTATTTCAAGTTTCGAATTTGAATATGGTAATGGCTTATGACAAATAATGTCTATGTAGGCCACGTCGTATGGACCCCAATATAACGGCTTTATTTGGTATTTTTAAAATTTTAATAGAATTTTTAAGGATTTTATTTTTTTTTTTTTAAATTTCCAAATTCATTCCCAATGGTGGAGGGTATTCAAAGTTCGCCCCGGCCGAACTTACTCATTTTTAACTTGTTGTTGCTTTATTTATTCTCTCAAAATCGTACATCTGTTTACTTACGCTTTCACAATTAGAATGAGCATGAGTATGATAATCGAGAGTAATTTGTTGGATAACAATTATTAAAATATCTTAGTTAGTTATTATTAATGTAACGTAATTGTAATAAAATCTATCTAAGGTGCTATTTAATATGCTACAATTTTAAATTTTCCCCTGCAGCTGAAGGTTTTAAAACGAAAATTAGTTTATGTTCTGTATTTTTTTTTCTTCCAAACAGAAAAAATACGTTTCACTTGGATTACACTCAGCGCAATTGTTTTTGTGCAACAAGGTCAAGTTATTCATGTAATTCACATAAATAAATAATTGCGTACATACTACATAGCAATGTATGTACATTATATACTGCTTGCAGATTTTATAAATAGACTACGTAATGATGAAATAATAAAAAATGAATTCACGTTAAACATAAGGTTTACAAAAAGACAGAAAGTGTACGAATAAAACTACAGCCAGGATAAGCAGGCTGTAATGATGTTGTAATTAGCAAACGTATAAATCTACATATGCCTATTTCAGGGTCGACCAGATCATGAAAAACATGTTCACTTATTCCTGAACATTCTCGGCAAGAGCTAAAATATTATGAAATATGAACGAGTAAAAAGGCTGTTAGTTCGGCCTTGCCGGATTTTGAATACAATTTGGAAGTTGTCAAGAAAATAAAATCCGTTAAAAATTCTGTTAAAAATTCCATAATACCAATTCCAAAATACCAAATATAGCCGTTATATTGGGGTCAACACGAACACGTGTACCTGTATAGGCAACTTTTGTCATAAGCCATTACAATATTCAAATACGAAACTTGAAAAAAATCCGGTGAATATTGTTGCTAAAATCATCAAAATACCGAATATAGGGAGGTGCCGTTATATCGGACCTATACGAATGTCTGGGCCTGCATAGACAATTTTCTGTCACAGGCTATAGTACCGTTTAGGAACTTCATATCAAACAGATTCGGTGAATATTGTACATAAAATCGTAAAAATACCGAATATAGGGAGTTACTGATATATGGGGCCTGTATGAAGACCTGGACCTGCATAGACAATTGTCTGTCATAGGCTGTAGTTCTTAATACCAACTCTAAATACGAAATTTGAAACAAATCCGGTGAATAATGTCGCTAAAATAATCAAATTGCCGAATATCGTTAGGTACCGTTGTATGGTGGCCATACCGTCATTCCATTGAAAAATGTGGTTAAAATCATCAAAATACCGAATATATCGGGGGTAACGTTATATGGGGGCTATACGATATCGTGAACCCATATAGAAAATTCTCTTTCAGGGGGTAAAATACTCACACAGAACTCGTTGTGTAGAATTTCAGACAATGTCATTGAAAAATTGTCACTAAAATCATCAAAATACCGAGTGGCGGGAGGTACAATTATATGAGGGATATACGATATCGGGGACCCATATAGACAATTCTTTTCCAGGGAGTAAAGTAGTCACGAAGAACTCCTTGCGTAGAATTTCAGCCAATTTCATTGAAAAATGTGGTTAAAATCACAAAATACCGAATATAGGGAGGTGCCGTTATATGGGTGGGTCGACCTATATAGACAATATTCATCCAGGGGGTAAAATACCAAAAAAGGAACTCCTTTTGCGGATATTCAGACAATTTCATTGGCTACAATCATCAAAATACCGAGGGAGGGTACCGTTATATGGGGGCTATACGATATCGTTGACCGATATAGCCCATCTGATCTGTGACAAAAGACCGATTTTAGCTTCATATCTTTATTAGTTTTGACTTTAGCCTGTTTACAAGAAACGGAGGGACGGACAGGGCTAAATCTTCTTAGAATTTTTCGCTGATCAAGAATATATACATACTTTTTATACCCTCCACCATACTATGGAGGGTATATTAATTTTGTCATTCCGTGTGTAACTCCTCGAAATACTCATGTCAGACCAAATTTGTACCAAATGGTGGAGGGTATTAAAAGTTCGGCCCGGCGAACTTACAGCTTTTTTACTTGTTTGGTCTAAAATTATTATTGCGATGAGTTATAAACGGAATGGCGAACGTAATATACCCTCTATTTATACCCTCTATAAAAAGGTAAAATAATGCTATCAGATGTTTGCCTTTTTTTTTTTAATTATTCGTTTGACAACATCTCGTTGACAAAGTTTATATTTATAAATCCATTATATATAAATAATCCAGAGATGGGAATGTGTTTTCTATAAGGTAAATTACAAAAAAATGCAGATATGGATATGCTTATTCGAAATGACTACCTTCCTCATTATCATGCTATTGTTATTAATTTATTTATCTCATTACAAAATTTGATTTAAAGTAGTTCCCGCGTATTATTGCACGCCCACAAATGCGGAATCCATAGATCCAAAAAATTCTTATAAGATGCTTTTGGTAGATTCTTCTTACAGTAATATTCCGCAGTGTACAGACCAATCACTAAGGCATTGCCAACAAAAAATGTTAACCAAAAAACTATATTGCCAACACATCGAGGAATCCAACGCGATATGTGTACCAAGGCAATGCCACCAAAAATATACAAAATACTTGAATATGGAAAATAAATTCGCAAGGGGATCACCATAAAGTATTCATGAGCTACGGCTGAAATTACATAAACAGCAATGGCAGAACTACTTTTAGATCCCTTAAAAACATAGCGATAGAAATCTTTGAATATGTACTCGTACAGCCAATCACCTACCAATGTATTCCAATCACGAAAGAATTCAAAATAATTACAAGCTAACCACCAATCGCGGTGGAACATACGATCAGAGAAATACAACAATTCACCGGTAAGATTATTCCAGGCGTGTAAAAGAAAAAAGAAAAAGCTGAGTACCATCAGCATGGCTGTGAGTTGTATGCCAAAGAAGCTGCGTATCAGGAAGCCTGCACTTAGCTCCGCTCTCCCGAAGTTTGACATAATTGGTTGTAAATGATTTTCAATTAGAAAAGCAAACAAAAACACAAAGGCCACACACTCCATAAAACGGGCAGCTACAAAACTCCAACGTACGCTAGCGGTGCGTGGATAATCATCGCAGTACAATAAAGTGGGTGCACATAAATAATAAAGGTATTTTTGAAATGGCGGCATAATGACGATTTGCAAATTATTTTCAATATCTAATTTTCCTTGCAGTATTCGGCCGCAAATGACTCTCACAAAGGCATGTTGCTTCATTGCCAATCTCATCGTTTCAAAGAGGAGGCCAAAACACGAGGCATTCTTTATATTGAACTTTAGGCATGCAGCTGCTGGGATATAGAAAAATAATCCTTGACTTGTGATATACAGCAATAGCCAAGCGAAGGACCAACATGGTTGTAGAAACTCTGGAAGAAAGAAGGTAAGTGATAAGCGCCATTAAAATGTTGTATCTAAACGCGCTATATACATGCATACATATATATATACAAACCTTGTTTTTGAAGTTTCCTTCTACCAATTGCCCATATTTTCAAAGCATAATATATAGCACAGGAATAAATTTGCAAAATTACCCAAATAGCAAATGCATAATGGAAATTTATAAATCCGGTTTGAAAAGTGCCAGATGCCAAAGTGATCCTAAAAAAGAGAGAAAAAGAAAATAAACAAGTAAACAAAAGCAGTAATTTCGGCCGGGCCGAACTTTAAAAACACACAGTTGGAAATTATCAAAAAAAATAAAATCCGTTAAAAATTCTGTCAAAATCTTAAAAATACCGAGTACAGCCGTAATATTGAGGTTTTTACGAAAACGTGGATATGCATGGGCAACTTTTGTCATATTCAAATACAAAACTGAAAAAAAAAACAAGTAAAAAAGCTGTAAGTTCGGCCGGGCCGAACTTTTAATACAAATTTGGCAATTTCCAAAAAAAAAAATAAATAAATAAATCCGTTAAAAATTCTGTTAAAATCTTCAAAATACCGAATGCCTATACGACGACATGGACCTGCATAGGCATCTTTAGTCATAAGTTATTACAATATTTAAATGCGACTTGACGAAAAATCTATTTATAATGTAGCTAATATCATCAAAATACGGAATATAGGGGATGCCGTTATATGGGGGCTATATGAAGACGTGGACCTGCACAGACAATTTTCTGGCATGGGCTGAAGTATCCATTACCAACTTCACATGCGAAATTTGAAACAAACAAGTAATGTCGCTAAAATCATCAAAATACCGAATATTGGGGGGGGGGGTATATGGGGCTATATGAAGACGTGGACCTACATGACTCATTTTCTGCTGTATGCTGAAGTATCTATTACGAACTTCAAATACCAAATTTGGAACGATTCCGTTAAATAATGTCGCTAAAATCATCAAAATACTGAATATCGGGGGGTACCGTTACAAAGACCTAAAATGGTAAAGACTAGACAAAATGCATTCTGAGCAAATGGTTTGTGGTTATACTACCTTGAATAACAGCTCATGACAGAAGTTATGTTAATATAAAAAACACAATTATAGGAAAGAATGACAAATAAAAGTTTGGATAATCCAAAATATTGGTTTCAAAATTCTATTCAATATACCTTTCCAAATAATTGCATACTGCGTTAGAGGTTTAAATTGCTTAACATTGGTAACTATGTTGTTACGATATCATAACAACAGAGGTATTTTAACAGGGTTGCCATATTTTCACTCTGTCTTGTCCCATCTTTATACTTCTATGTCTTTGACCGTTATATGGGGGCTATACGAAGACGTGGTGCTGCACAGATAATTTTCCGTCTTAGGCTGTAGTATCCATTATGAGCTTCAAATGCCAAATTTGAAACAATTCCGGTGAATAATGTCGCTAAAATCATTAAAATACCGAATATCGGGAGGTACCGTTATATGGGGGCTATATGATAACTTGGACCTACATGGCCCATTTACGAACTTAACTTAATATACACGTGTGCAAAATTTTAGCCTTCTATCTCAATTTGTTCGAAAGATAGCGTGATTACAACAGGCAGACAGACAGACGGACGGACATGGCTAAATCGTCTCAGAATTTTATGCTGATCAAGAATATATACTTTGTTAGGTCTGACATGAGTATTTTGAGGAGTTACAAGCGGAATGACAAAATTAACATACCCTCGATAGTAGTAGTAGAAGGGTATATCAAATTTAAGAATAAGTTTAGATTTGTTCGAATTGATCACCTTTGGCACGAATTATGGCCTTTACATGGCCAATGGAACCGTCACACACTGCCCCAATGTTGCTCCTCATTTTGTAACGATTCTTGGGTGGTGCGTGCGATGGTGCTGAGTCCTGTTGGAATGTCCAAGATCTGCGGCCAAAATGTTTGCGTGTCCAAGTCTTTAATACACCCTCCAGAATATTTTCGCGATTATATTCGACATTTATTCTGATGCCACGGTCAATTAATACGAGCTTATTTTGCTTATATTGCTTATTTTCGCACGTGATCTAGCACTGATGCAAATATTAGGATTTGCTAAGTTGGAGCAAAATCGGATTATCCTTTCCCTTTCTGTGTAGTAAAATATTTTCTTTGAAAATTTCGACCTTTTGTGGGGAAGAAGGAGTGAACCGAAATTGCCCATCTACGAACTCGATCTATTTTTGATAATAATATAACGACGTATCAAGTTTGGACCAAATCGAATACTCGCTTCCAGATTTATTTGGACCAATAATATACTCGCTTCCAGACGGTCGGACGGACATCGCTAGAACAACTCCAAATGTCGTGAAACGGATTTGGTCCAAAAGACCTAGGGTCTAATACCGTTAATTCGATGAGGCACGTTTTGGCCATAAAAAATGTATCCATATGGCTGAAGGTATAAAAAATCCGTTGAAAAATGTACCTAAAATCGTCAAAATATTAAATATAGGGAGGTACTGGTATATTGGACCTATACGAAGACCTGGACCTGCATAGACAATTTTCTGACATAGACTGTTGTTCCGATTACGAACTCTAAATACGAACTTTAAAACAACTCTGGTGAACAATATCGCTAAAATCATCAAAATACCGAATATAGGGTGGTACCGTTATATGGGTGATATACGATATCGTGGCCGGATATAGCCCATCTTAGAACTCATTTTAAAAGTAAGTAAAAATATAAAATAAATTTGAATATTTCTAACAAGAAGCAGGCATAGCCTCAAGGTTTCTATGTCTGTAGTTATACGAAGCTGTTCTACCTCCATGGATGATGGTACGAATGAACGCATTTGCAAGCCGGTTTGGAATGTTCTGCTAGAATTGCTGGAAAAGTATTGCACAGACATGGGCAAAAAAGAGTTCATATTGAGGTCACGAATGTAAAACTTTGTTTATAACACTAAATGAAAAATTTGGATTCTGCTTAAGCTTAGTTGCTTACTGATTAAGTTCTACTCACCTTCCATTTGCGAAGTAATCATCGAATATATTATAGGCCAAATAAAATATGAAAACCACAATAAATATATTGTAAATTGTTCGAATATGGCTAATCTTTAGAAGTTCGGTGATATACGATTCTCGAGCTTCAAAAACTTTTTTGCGAATTTTATTGCACTCCACTTCTTTACTGTTGTCCCTGTTATCATTGCTAAATCGTACATTTCTTTCTTTCGATGACTGCTGGTTGTCTGTGTTATTTGTTTCTTTGGGAGATGATGCATTGAGATACGATATTACGGGGCGTACATTTATTTCCAAATGAGCTGGATGTTCTTCTTTCTCCGGTTCATTAATTTTTGAGCAAAATTCTGGAAAAAGTAAATGAAAATAGAAATAATATTGCAATCTTCAAGTACGAAGATGGACTATATCGGTCCACGATATCGTATAACCCCCATACAACGGTACCTAGCTATATTCGGTACTTTGATGATTTTAGTATATTTTTGAATGGAATTGTCTAAAAAATTATACTAGAAGTTCTTTCGAGGCCACGGTAGGTCCACGATATCCTATAGCCTACATACAACGGATCCTCCCGACATTCGATATTTTGACGATTTTAAGGAGTTTTTTTTTCAAATTTCGTATTTAGAATTCGTTATGGGTACTACAGCCTACAACAACAAATTGCGTATGCAGGCCCACGTTTTCGTATAACTTCCATATAGCAGCACCATGCTACAATAAAAAGGTAAGGTAAAGCTACCAGCTGATAAAAAATTTTTTCTTAGTGTGCCCGACTTCTGCCTATTTTGTGTATGTATTTATTGTTTTGAAAAATAAAAAAAAAAACTATTTTCAAAACTAATGATTGGAAGACACGTAAATTGGGAGACGCGCATTAAAGTTATTCGCCGGTTTTACCATGGAATTGACTAAAAGAGCTGTCTAGATCACACATTTTTGAAAGAAAATCTAGGCATTTCATTAATTTTTCCCGCTGTTTAACCGATTTAAAAAAATTAGGAAATATATTGAATAAATGAAAACAACTTGTTGCATGCAAAGTTGACAGGAAGCGGTCATAGTCTTAGGGCTGTATTTCTGTAGTTTACGAAGTTCTACCTGCTTATTGAACCATATTCTATATATACCTCCCAATATTCGATATTTTGACGATTTTAGCGACGTTATTCACCGGAATTATTTCAAATTTCGTATTTAGAGTTCGAAATGGGAAAGGCAGTCTATAACAGAAAATTGTCTATATCTTCGTATAGGAGTCATATATCAGTATATATATATTCGGTATTTTGACGATTTTAGGTACAATATTCATCAAATCTCGTATTTGAAGCTCCCAATAGGTACTACAGCCTGTGTAGGGTCTTCGACCTGTCCAGGTCTTCGTATACTCCCGATGTAACGATTCCTTCCCATAGTCGGTATTTTTATGATTTTACCTATGTTATTCACCGGATTTTTTCAAGTTTCGTATTTGAATATTGCAATGACTTTTGACAAAAGTTGCCTATGCAGGTCCAGGCTTTTGCATAGACCCCAATATAACGGCTATATTCGGTATTTTTGTACCCTCCACCTTGGTGGGTCATTCCGTTTGTAACATCCTTAAATATTCGTCGTAGACCCCATAAAGTATATATATTCATAATCAGCATAAAATTCTAAGTCGATTTAACGATGTCCGTCTGTTGAAATCACGATACAGCCCACAGTATTTGACGTAGAGCGCCAAAATTTAGCAGAGCAATTTGCATTATGTCTAGAATGGTTGGTATTGAAAATGAGATATATCGGTCCACGTTCTGGTATAGTCCCCATGTAACGGTACCTCCCGATATTCGGTATTTTGATGATTTATGCCACATTTTTTCACGGATTTGTCTGAAAATGGGTATTTGTAGGTCATAACGGGTACCTGTGCGTGTGGCAAAACATTGCATGTATAGGTCCACGTTTTGGTATAGCCCCCATATAAAGGTACCTCCCGATATTCGGTATTTTGATTATTTTTGCCACATTTTTTCACGGATTTGTCTAAAAATTGATATTTGTGGGTCATAATGGGTCCTAGTTCGTGTGGCGAAACATTGTATGTATAGGTACACGTTTTGATATAGTCCTCATATAACGGTACCTCTCAATATTCGGTATTTTGATGATTTTTGACACATTTTTTCAAGAATTTCTCTGAAAGTTGGTAGTGGTAGATCATAATAGGTTTTTGCCACATTTCTTCTAATGTTTCCTTTACCCTAAGGTGGAGGGTATTAAAAGTTTGTCCCGGCCGAACTTAATGTTTTTTACTTAGTAAGATTCTAACAGAATTTTTAACGGATTTAATTTTTTTGAAAATTTTCCAAATTTTTTCCAAATGGTGGAAGGTATTCAAAGTTCAGTCCGGCCGAACTTACCGCTTTTTTACTTGTTCTTATTTAAACTCCTCTTTTTTAAAAGCAACACACTGTCTTCTCTGAGTCTGCAGCTAACCTTACCATTTACTTTTTCGTCGTGATTAGTTTCCATTTCCTTCATTTTCGAATTTTTCTTTAGCTCAACACTTTAAACTTTACAACTTTGTATTCAAATCGGAACTAATTTCGAACTAACGCTTTGTACAAAAAATATTGAATTGCAATGTGCAAATATATATATGTTACGGAAAACATAACATGTTGGCCAAGACATTGGTAACAATTAATTAGAACAACAACAATTAAATCCAATTTTATTAATAGTTCTACAAATAATGTATGCAGTGTTATAAAGTCTAGAGTAATTATTCATTATTCTAATCTTGAAATTGTAAGGCAAACAATATTTAAAATGTATATAAATACAATTTTCAGATTCAATGTTGAGGAAATTGTTATTAATTTGAATCAAATTAATATGTGGTGTTAATGTCCGGCAAACCTGCCTGATAATAGAAAATACATTTCATTATACCCTCAGCCATATGGCTATATCATTCGATACGGCCAAAACGAGCCTCATCGAAATAATGGTTTTAGACTCTAGGTCGCTTTGGACCAAATCCGTTTTAGGACATTTGGTGTCGATTTAGCGATGTGCGTCCGTCTGCCAGGCTGGTGCGCAGAGAGTGTCTGATTTCGTTCAAACTTGGTAAATCTTAATATTATTATCAAACATATATCGAGTTCGGAGATGGGCAAGATCGGTCCACTACTTCTGGTACCTCTCCCACAAAAGAGTCAACATTTTGAATAATTATAACTCCCATAAAATGTAAAGTAAGAGTCCGATTATCTTCAAATTGCACAAATCACAATATTTTTACTCACCCATGGTCTGATATTAATGTATTGGTCCACTCCTTCTGGTATCTCCCCCACAAATGGTCAACATTTTGAATATCCATGAAGTTCATAAAACGCGAAATTAACATCCGATTCCATTCAGACTTGGCACATCTCAATATTTCCATCAACACTAGATCTGTTATAAAGATGGTAGATATCGGACCGTTCCTTCTGGTACCTCCCCTACAAAGGGTCTAAGTTTTGAAAAAGCAAATCGATCATAAAATCCGAAATAAGCATCCGGTTCTCCTCGTATTTCACAAATCCCATTATCTCTATTAACACAAGATCTGATGTGAAGATGAAATATATCGGTCTACTCCTTCTGGTATCTCCCCCACAAAAGGTCAAAATTTTGAATATCCATGAAGCTCATAAAACGCGAAATTAACATCCGATTCCATTCAGACTTGGCAAATCTTAATATTTCCATCAACACCATGTCTGTTATAAATATAGCAGCACCATGCTACAATAAAAAGGTAAGGTAAAGCTACCAGCTGATAAAAAATTTTTTCTTAGTGTGCCCGACTTCTGCCTATTTTGTGTATGTATTTATTGTTTTGAAAAATAAAAAAAAAAAACTATTTTCAAAACTAATGATTGGAAGACACGTAAATTGGGAGACGCGCATTAAAGTTATTCGCCGGTTTTACCATGGAATTGACTAAAAGAGCTGTCTAGATCACACATTTTTGAAAGAAAATCTAGGCATTTCATTAATTTTTCCCGCTGTTTAACCGATTTAAAAAAATTAGGAAATATATTGAATAAATGAAAACAACTTGTTGCATGCAAAGTTGACAGGAAGCGGTCATAGTCTTAGGGCTGTATTTCTGTAGTTTACGAAGTTCTACCTGCTTATTGCACCATATTCTATATATACCTCCCAATATTCGATATTTTGACGATTTTAGCGACGTTATTCACCGGAATTATTTCAAATTTCGTATTTAGAGTTCGAAATGGGAAAGGCAGTCTATAACAGAAAATTGTCTATATCTTCGTATAGGAGTCATATATCAGTATATATATATTCGGTATTTTGACGATTTTAGGTACAATATTCATCAAATCTCGTATTTGAAGCTCCCAATAGGTACTACAGCCTGTGTAGGGTCTTCGACCTGTCCAGGTCTTCGTATACTCCCGATGTAACGATTCCTTCCCATAGTCGGTATTTTTATGATTTTACCTATGTTATTCACCGGATTTTTTCAAGTTTCGTATTTGAATATTGCAATGACTTTTGACAAAAGTTGCCTATGCAGGTCCAGGCTTTTGCATAGACCCCAATATAACGGCTATATTCGGTATTTTTGTACCCTCCACCTTGGTGGGTCATTCCGTTTGTAACATCCTTAAATATTCGTCGTAGACCCCATAAAGTATATATATTCATAATCAGCATAAAATTCTAAGTCGATTTAACGATGTCCGTCTGTTGAAATCACGATACAGCCCACAGTATTTGACGTAGAGCGCCAAAATTTAGCAGAGCAATTTGCATTATGTCTAGAATGGTTGGTATTGAAAATGAGATATATCGGTCCACGTTCTGGTATAGTCCCCATGTAACGGTACCTCCCGATATTCGGTATTTTGATGATGTATGCCACATTTTTTCACGGATTTGTCTGAAAATGGGTATTTGTAGGTCATAACGGGTACCTGTGCGTGTGGCAAAACATTGCATGTATAGGTCCACGTTTTGGTATAGCCCCCATATAAAGGTACCTCCCGATATTCGGTATTTTGATTATTTTTGCCACATTTTTTCACGGATTTGTCTAAAAATTGATATTTGTGGGTCATAATGGGTCCTAGTTCGTGTGGCGAAACATTGTATGTATAGGTACACGTTTTGATATAGTCCTCATATAACGGTACCTCTCAATATTCGGTATTTTGATGATTTTTGACACATTTTTTCAAGAATTTCTCTGAAAATTGGTAGTGGTAGATCATAATAGGTTTTTGCCACATTTCTTCTAATGTTTCCTTTACCCTAAGGTGGAGGGTATTAAAAGTTTGTCCCGGCCGAACTTAATGTTTTTTACTTAGTAAGATTCTAACAGAATTTTTAACGGATTTAATTTTTTTGAAAATTTTCCAAATTTTTTCCAAATGGTGGAAGGTATTCAAAGTTCAGTCCGGCCGAACTTACCGCTTTTTTACTTGTTCTTATTTAAACTCCTCTTTTTTAAAAGCAACACACTGTCTTCTCTGAGTCTGCAGCTAACCTTACCATTTACTTTTTCGTCGTGATTAGTTTCCATTTCCTTCATTTTCGAATTTTTCTTTAGCTCAACACTTTAAACTTTACAACTTTGTATTCAAATCGGAACTAATTTCGAACTAACGCTTTGTACAAAAAATATTGAATTGCAATGTGCAAATATATATATGTTACGGAAAACATAACATGTTGGCCAAGACATTGGTAACAATTAATTAGAACAACAACAATTAAATCCAATTTTATTAATAGTTCTACAAATAATGTATGCAGTGTTATAAAGTCTAGAGTAATTATTCATTATTCTAATCTTGAAATTGTAAGGCAAACAATATTTAAAATGTATATAAATACAATTTTCAGATTCAATGTTGAGGAAATTGTTATTAATTTGAATCAAATTAATATGTGGTGTTAATGTCCGGCAAACCTGCCTGATAATAGAAAATACATTTCATTATACCCTCAGCCATATGGCTATATCATTCGATACGGCCAAAACGAGCCTCATCGAAATAATGGTTTTAGACTCTAGGTCGCTTTGGACCAAATCCGTTTTAGGACATTTGGTGTCGATTTAGCGATGTGCGTCCGTCTGCCAGGCTGGTGCGCAGAGAGTGTCTGATTTCGTTCAAACTTGGTAAATCTTAATATTATTATCAAACATATATCGAGTTCGGAGATGGGCAAGATCGGTCCACTACTTCTGGTACCTCTCCCACAAAAGAGTCAACATTTTGAATAATTATAACTCCCATAAAATGTAAAGTAAGAGTCCGATTATCTTCAAATTGCACAAATCACAATATTTTTACTCACCCATGGTCTGATATTAATGTATTGGTCCACTCCTTCTGGTATCTCCCCCACAAATGGTCAACATTTTGAATATCCATGAAGTTCATAAAACGAGAAATTAACATCCGATTCCATTCAGACTTGGCACATCTCAATATTTCCATCAACACTAGATCTGTTATAAAGATGGTAGATATCGGACCGTTCCTTCTGGTACCTCCCCTACAAAGGGTCTAAGTTTTGAAAAAGCAAATCGATCATAAAATCCGAAATAAGCATCCGGTTCTCCTCGTATTTCACAAATCCCATTATCTCTATTAACACAAGATCTGATGTGAAGATGAAATATATCGGTCTACTCCTTCTGGTATCTCCCCCACAAAAGGTCAAAATTTTGAATATCCATGAAGCTCATAAAACGCGAAATTAACATCCGATTCCATTCAGACTTGGCAAATCTTAATATTTCCATCAACACCATGTCTGTTATAAAGATGGTAGATATCGGACCATTCCTTCTGGTACCTCGCCCACATAGAGTTCAAGATTTTGAAAAATAAATCACCCAAAGAAAGCGAAATAAACATCCAACTCTCTTCAAATTACAAACACACAAATATATTTGCTAACACATGATCTGTTGTGAAGATGATATGCAGGGTGAGATAAAAAATGCACCAAAGTCACACGACATAATTTATACAATTTTTTTAAACATTATTGAATGAAAGCAAAAAAAATGTCGGAAATAGCATTAGAATAAGTTAAGATTTGTTCGAATTGATCATCTTTGGCACGAATTATGGCCTTCAAACGGCCAATTAAAACTTCACACGCTGCCCGAATGTTGCTCTGCAGTATTTTGGCCCATTCCCGGCGAAGCACTTGTTTAGGGTGATCGAAACTTTGGTATGTTTCAGTGCAAACCTTGTTTTCCAAAATACTCCAGACACAATAGTCCAACGGATTGGTATCCAGAGATTTTGGTGGCCATTGTGCGCTGCAAATTTTGTAACTATTCTGAGTGCGATGGTGCTGAGTCCTGTTGGAATGTCTAAGGTTTGCGGTCAAAATGTTTGCATGCCCAAGGCTTTAATACACCCTCCAGAATATTTTCGCGATAATATTCGGCATTTATTCTGATCAATTAATACGAGCGGAGAGCGACAATCGGCTGTTATGGCGGCCCACAACATCACAATGGCCGGCGCTTGAGTTCTGGTGGCCAACCAAAGGTGCACATTTTCAGCTGACCTCTTTGGCAAGTAAACACCATAATTTTATTTGTTTACAAACTGCCGAACAAGGAATGTTTTCTCATCGAAAAAAAAAAAAACAAATTCGGCAGTTTACCACTTTCGGCCAAGCGAAGCAACTCTTTACCTCTTTTGAGTCTATTTTCTTTCCGTTGCGGTGTAAGTTTTTGCACTTTTTGTAATTTCAATGGCTTTACCCCGAGCCCATTTTTCAATAATTGCCGAATGGATTATTGCGATATGTTCCGCTCACGAGCCATTTTTCGGCCACTGTGATGCGAGTTTCGATCAAGTCGCTTCTTTACTTTTCGAACCATTTCTGCTGATGTTGCTGTTTTCTTTTGTCCACTTCCGTGACGTCGGGCTACGCTACCAGTATCACGGTAACGAACGATGGTACGAGACTTTTTTCACATTTAAATACTGGAGTGCTCTAACGATAGCCACTTGTGGTTTTCCAGACAAATTTAAAGAAAACACACTATCACGTTTGAATTCCATCACGAATAACTTTTTTTCTGGAAAATTCTCACAAAAATGCTTTTGTACGCTTGTAAACAATATAGTGAGCTGAGTGGCTTAAAAATGACAGCAGTCTGAAGCTGGTTGCATTTTTTTTATCTCACCCTGTATACCTGCCAACCCCTCCTGGTACCTTACCCACAAAGCGTCACAATTTTTAGTTAACGATTCTCTACAACTTGTTATATCTAAATATTTCTCTCAACCAGATATAAAAAATTCATTTCTAATCGTTACAATTGGGCATTAACACCTCACATTAAAAATAATAATATTTAAATTTATCACTTAACCTTACAACTTAACAAATGTGGCAGCAAATGGTCCGACCAGCTCTCATAAGATGCTTTCGGACAATTCTCTTTTGTATAAAACTCAGCTACATAAAAAACAAAATCAAATGTATTACCTACAAAGAGAAAAAACCAAAATAAAAGATTTCCCATATTTTTTGACATCCTTTTCGTGATATGACTCAAACTGAAAGCCGAAAAAATAAATTGAATTGCCAATAATGGGAAAAATAATCTCAGTGGAATGTCAACAAAATACTCATGAGCTATGGCGGATATGACAAACACCGCCATGCCACAGGCCGCTGTGGAACCCTTGAATACATACAAATAGCAATCCTTAAAAATATACTCATACAACCAATCACCGACCAAAATATTCCATTTGCGAAAATATTCAAATATATCGCCCGATGTCCACCAGTCCCGGTAGAACATGCGATCACCGAAACGTAACAATTCAGCGGTGAGATTTGACCAGGAATGCAGCAGAAAATAAAAACCACTTAGCAGCATTAGCATAGAGGTCATTTGCAGTTGAAAAACAGTGCGAACTAGCAATGACGCATTCAGTTGCATTTTGCCGAAATTTTCCAAGCCTGGTTTCAGATGATTTTCCATAAGACAGGCAAACAAAAACACATGTGCCACACATTCCACAAAACGGGCGGCCACAAACCCCCAACGAATGCAGGAGGTTCGGGGATAATTATCACGATACAGGAAAGTTGGGACAAACAGATAATACAAATATTTACTAAACGGTGGCATTGTCGGAGAATTGTCTGCAGTATCATCGCTCTTCAATTTACCCTGCATAGCACGTCCGCAAATTGTCCGCACAAAGGCATGTTGTTTCATTACCAGTCTCAGGGTTTCCATTAGGAGTGCTGCTGCCGAAGCATATTTAATGTCCAATTTAAAGCAAAATTTTGCCGGAAGATATAAACACATGACAACGCCAAGGATATATCCCATAAGCCACAAGTAAGACCATATGGTTCGTAATTTTTCTAAAATCAAGAAGGAAAATATTTAAATAATGATATTAAATTTGAGTGTTTTGGTAACTTACCTTGTTGATGAAGTTTTGATCGCACATTGGACCAGATTTTCAAAGCATAATATACACTGCAAGTGTAAGCATTCAAAATCAGCCACACGCCAAGTGCATAGTGAATATTTGCAAAACCAGTTTGAAATATACCAGCTCCCAAGGTGATCCTTGAAAGAAAATAAAAATATTTTAATTAATTGAATGTATTTGTAGATCTCGCTTGGAGTCTTGTGACGAAAGTCAAGGTGATTTAAAAAAAAATTGAAATGAAACCCATAAACACGTACAAAAGCACTGACGAACTTTGAATGCCCTCCGCAATTTGGAAGGAATTTGGAAATTTTCCAAAAAAAAAAAACCAGTAAAGAAAGTCATAAGGTCGGGTGGGGCCGACTTTATGATACCCTACACCACTTTACTAATTTAGTAGAGCTCCGCATAACAATCAAAAGTTTTATGGGAGAATTCAATCATACACGCTGTGATTATAATTATAATTTAAAGTTCAAAAGACTAAATATGCCGAAGCATTTGTATCTTTTAAATTCGGACTTGTATTGCCCATTTGGTGCAAAATTAATTTGAAATCGGATAAAGATATATATGGGAGCTATATCCAAAGCTAAACCGATCTCGATAAAATTTGGCAAAGATATTTCTGAGCTGTATTTGATAGATTTCCCTGACATTTGACATACTAGCTTCTAGGCTCAATTCGGTCGTATGTGCCAAATTCCATCCCATTTGGACAAATATTAGACGTTTGGTGCACAATAAAAGGTAAATCGGACGAAGTTATATATTGGAGCTATATCCAAATCTGAACCGATCTCGATAAAATTTAGCAAAGGTATTTCTGATCTGTATTTGATAGATTTTCCCAAATATTGTTGTTACAGAGTGCATATTATGGCTGCGGAGGACAAAAATAACAAATCGGATGAACAATATATATGGGAGCTATAGTTATATCTGAACCGATTTCGATCAAATTTGGTATACTTATTTTCAGGCCTAATTTGGTTCTTTGTGCAAAATTCCATATTATTCGGGCTGATATTACACGTTTGGTGCACAATAAAATGCATATCGGACGAAGATATATATGAGAGCTATATCTTAATTTTGACCGATTATCTCCAATTTCAATAGTGTTCGTCCTTGGGCCAAACAAATGATTTGTGTAAAATTTCATCTGGATAGGGCAATAAATGCGAACTGTACTTTGTTTACAAAAATACATGGACATGCATAAATCGACTCAGAATGTGATTCTATGCAGATCATCAAAAGGAACTATGGGTCTATCTCGTTTCCTTTTGCCTGTTACAAACAAATGCACAAAGACATAATACCCTGACCACCTTGTGGTGTAGGGTATAATAAAATCCATTAAAATTTCTGTTAAAATCTTAAAAATGTCGAATATAGCCGTTATATTAGGGTCTATACGAAGACGTGGACCTGCATAGGCAACTTTTGTCATAAGCCATTACAATATTCAAATGCGAAATTTGAAAAATCAATCCGGTGTAGCTAAAATCATCAAAATACCGAATATGGGGTGATACTGATATATGGGGCCTATACGAAGACCTGGATAGAGAAATTTCTATCACAGGCTTTAGTAGCTATTAGGAACTTCAAATACGAAATTAAAAACGATTTCAATGAATATTGTACCTAAAATCGTCAAAATACCGAATATAGGGAGGTATTGATATATGGTGGCTATACGACAATCTAGACCGGCATAGACAATTTCCTGTCATAGGCTATAGTTTCCATTACGAACTCTAAATACGAATTTGAAAAAATGGTGAATAATATAGCTAAAATCATCAAAATACCGAATATAGAGCGGTACCGTTATATCGGGTCTATACGAATACCTGGGCCTGCATAGAACATATTCTGTCACAGGCTGTAGTACCTATTAGGACCCTCAAATACCAACTTTGAAAATACTCCGGTGAATAATGTCGCTAAAATCATCAAAATACCGAACAGAAGACGTGGGCCTGCATACACAATTTTTTGTTATAGGCTGTAATACCCTTTACTTTATGTGGGTTATACGACCTATATAGGCATTTCTCTTTCAGATGGTAAATCGCTTAGAAAGAACTTCTAGTATAGATTTTTAGAAAAATGCAGCTAAAATCATCAAAACACCGAATATAGGGAGGTACCGGGGGATAAACGATTTTGGCCAAAAGTGCCAAACCCAAAGAGTCAAGAGACAAAAAGCATATCAACTAGCAGTTAATTACTGCAGTTCTTATGTTGATGGAGATCCGCTCAAACTCACTTATTGGGAGTTACAGGTTATCAGAACGAACCTGAAGTTTTTAACAAATTTCGGGAGGAACAATTCCGACACATCTTTAAGGGAACTTCCGATAAGTAGAAACAGAACAGCAGTGAAACCTATCGGGGCCGCCAAAAAGACGACGATTTTGGAAAGCTCCCGCTTAAATGAAAAGGTGGCTTCGAAGGAGACAGAACCCTAGCAGTCTATTAAGAAGGCTGCTATGGCTTCAGATCAGGAGATACCGCCCTTCAATTCGGTAGAAAGCAGGGCCTCTAAGATGAAGTCGGCCATGACGAGCGGGCAGAGAAACGCACTGTCTGCAGAAGCCCCAACTTCGTAATTTAAGGTTTAGTTGTCTCAGGGGAAAGTTTAACTTTCAAAAAAAAAAAAATAATAATAATAATAAAATAAATAAAATTCAATAACGTTTTTAAAATTAGCCGATTCGACAATGAATACAAATTTCTCATGGGGGAGGTTATAAAGGTCTTCTGAAGCCGATTATTTTTACCAAATAAAAATCCCCCTATGTACTTAGCCCTTGATGTATTACGGCCTTTTATTCCTTATCCAATTCTATTCTCTTGTTTTATTTTATTTTGAATATATTTTCGAAACTTTACATAAACGACGTTCTTCTTAACCCAGATCCTCCAATTGTATAAAGTTACCATTCAATTACTCACCTGCCACTTGTCAAATATTCCAAAAGTACATTTTGCATCAGGTAGAAAACAAAACCCACTATGAAAATGTTATAAATCGTGCGGATATGACCAACTTGCATGAGCGTTGTCAAATATGATTCGCGACATTGGAAAACTTTTTCCGGATTTTTTTTTAGAAATTGTTTGTGGGATTTTTGCTGCCCCTCCTTCGACATATCACTATTTTGATTAGCTTCTTTACGCCTTCTATCACTGTAGCGCTCTTCGTAGGAATCTTTGTTGTTTTCGTGAAATGATACAATGGGATTTGAACTATTTATGGTTGTAATAGGACTTTGAAATTCACGAATTTGTAATTCATGCTGCCGCAGGTCCTTTTCCAGATCATTTACTATATCGGACATTCGTTGCTGAACCTCATGCAATAGATTCGAATGGAATGCCTCCAATTTGTGGCGTACCAAATGCAATTCTGCTTCATAATTACGCGGGGGAACAGTACCTGAAATTAGACGATGAAGTTAAAACGTTGGAATTTATTAATAAAAAAAAAACATTATTACATTCTATGTATACTTTTTTGTAATTGATAAAAAATTAGTCTGGATAATTGCTTAAATCGTATTGATCTATATTTTAAATACTCGTAAAAAACCAGATAATAAATAAACATCAAAAGCTAATTCGGAGTGTTCAAAAACACAAGGTTCATATTAAGAGTGAAAGGTATAATGATCTCCGGAATGTCAATAAATCTTTTCCAATCAATAGGACGCGGCTACATTTCCAGAAATATTTTCACAGTAAACTCTATCGAGAGGGAAAGGCTATTTTTACTCGTTATATTTCCTTTACCAGACACTGATTGGTCAAATTAAACTATTTTAACACAAGTGTTGCATTTTAAATTTAAAATATTTAAAATATAACTTAGAGCAAGCCACTGTACTGTCAAATCATTAATTGTTATGCCATTGAACTCGTTCTTTAGCTTACCGTTTTGTATAGATTGTTCTGAGGAAATCCCATTTCGTTCAGAATTTGCCACCATTTTTTTAACCTTTTTTTTTTGTATTTTCGAATTTATTTCATTTGAAATGCAAATGGAACGAAATAAAGTGTGTTGTGTTTCTTCTAATTATTTTGTACTTCCACTTTCAAACTCAATTTGAGACTGGCCGATTGTTTGGGATGTTCTTAATGTTTTGTTTTAAAACTTCATTGACCCAATGCCCCATATAATTCGAATCCTGTCTATCCAGTTGTGATCGAAAACAAGTCAAGCGTTATTTTGTAATAAAGTGCAAATAAACTTATTAGCAATTTAATAAACAATAAATATATTATATAAATCAAACAAAAACATAAAGAATGTTGACCTGAAATCGGGATTTGAAAAAAGGAAGAGTTAATAATAAAATTAAATTGAATAAATCTTTTGTGTCTCTTACCATCCCGACGTCAAGGAAGTAGAGGGAAGAAAACAGCGACATCAGCATAAATGGTTCGAAAAGTAAAGAAGCGGCTTGATCGAAACCCGCGTCGCAGTGCCGAAAAATGGCTCGTGAGCTGAAAAAATTACATGAAATTGAAAAATGAACTCGGGGTTAAGCCATTGAAATTCCAAAAAGTGCAAGAACATACAAAACATTCGTTGTCCAGCAGTTTATAAACAAACAAAATGATCGTGTTTACTTGCCAAAGAGGTCAGCTGAAAATGTACACCATCGGTTGTTCATCAGAACTCAAGCGCCGACCATGGTGATGGTGTGGGCCGCCATTACAGCCGATGGTCGCTCTCCGCTCATATTAATCGACCGTGGCATCAGAATAAATGCAGAATATTATCGCGAAAATATTCTGAAGGGCGTATTAAAGCCTTGGGCACGCAAACATTTCGGCCGCAGACCTTGGACATTTCAACAGGACTCAGCACCATCGCATTCAGCACACGCCACCCAAGAATGGTTACAAAATGAGGTTCCTCGCTTCATTTCACAATGGCCACCAAAATCTCCGGTCTTTTGAAGTTATTGACCGTCTTCAAACGGAACTAGCTATGATTTGGTAATTGAGGTTCCATTTGTATAGCCTCCAAAATAAAATGGGGCATATATCATGTTTATCATTCCATTTTCCAAACCTCGCCACATTAGTCGACGAATCCCACTTTTCATCGAGCTGAAGCTATTAAGTATTCGGTTTCTCAGTGAGTAATTAATCTCCTTGCAAAAAATATTCAATGTAGGTCCACAATTAGATATATGATTATACCTACAGAATATTGATAATTTCAAGGTTTAGGTATTCCGAAGCTTTATGTGACCACTTTCAACAAAGTTGGCTGAAATTTAAAAAGTCCCCATGTATTGACAGTGTAGATCAAATATAAAGAACATTAATCGATATTTTAACTACCCAGTGACTGGTCCATCTTCTCCCACGCACAATATTAGTTCTGCTCTATTCACGAATTGTCTTTTTCGAAACCTTGAGCCCTTTCCATTTCTATTAAAATATTTAAAAAATTATTTTGTCCATTGAAAATCGGCTTCATTTAACACAAACCAATTGCCGCATTTCAATTAGGTCGCACTGATTTTCGCATCTGGCAACGCTCTTACTCTATTTTGACAGGCATCAGCTGGAGAACATTGAGAGCGCATGTTTCTTTTTTGTCAGTCTGCTGCGAGAGTTTCTCAATAAACAAGTCAAAAAGTTCCGCAGGGGGAACATTTCAGATAAAAGGAATTCTTTTATTTTTGCCGATTTCAAATTGCAAACGCAGTGACGTTTCAATTTTTTTGTATTGATTACAAATATTAAGTGTTACAGGTGCCCCATCGTTATTGAGACAAGATGTTGGTGAACGAAGCCCGTTTAATGTTGAGCCGTACTGGTGCTGTGGCCGCACGTCAGCAGGTATGGCAGAAACACGGCTAATTTCCAAATGATTTGTGGCGGTGGGGGTATTATGATTGCCCACCCAGCCATAGAACAATGTGTCTTACATAAGTGGGAAAATGATAAAGTTGTGAAAAAGAGTTTCATAATTTTCTCTGCCAATAGAAGAAAAAGAATGAAGCTGGTCGTGAAAAGTAAATTTCTACCACAAGATATTGGCTAATAAATGTGTGTTATGTAAACCATAAGCGCAGCAAATTTTTCGAAAATTCGCGTGCCTCACGAGGCAAAATTTTCCATTGCATATATTATTGAGTGTAATTGTTTTGTTTATGCAGTGTAAATGCTAATGTGTGTTTTTTCACGTATTTTTGCAGTTGCGTTCCCTCACCTCGGGCAGCCAACAAAATAACCAGCAGGCTGAAGCTAAATCGGCACCTGAACCCCAAATCAAAACTTTCCAAATCTATCGCTGGAATCCCGACAATGCTGGCGAAAAGCCCTACATGCAAACCTATCAGGTTAATTTGCGTGAATGCGGTCCCATGGTCTTGGATGCCTTGATCAAAATCAAAAATGAAATGGATCCCACATTGACTTTCCGTCGCTCATGTCGTGAGGGTATTTGTGGTTCATGTGCCATGAACATTGCTGGTACCAATACATTGGCTTGCATCAGGTAAGAAAAGTGACGGTGACATTAGAAATGAAAATTGTTTCTTTTTCTCACATCAGGGCATTAAACCAATGTAGCTAGTTATGGAAGTTTGGTTTTCAGAACGATCCCATGCTGTGAGGGCACTAATTTATGGGCAATGTAAAGAAGGGTTCGATCTTTTAGAACTGGTTTGGTTAAGTCTTGTCTTGTAGAAACAGGTAGAAATGCGTTCGATTGGAATTGGTTATATTTGGGAGATCCAACATTTTATGAAGTTGCTGCTAAAACTATTTATTGTGATATTGAAGAGACATATCGCTGTCTACACACACCATGAAAGAAGACCATGAAAGGGCATAGCATTTTAAAAATATAGATTAAGAACGTAGATAAAAGCAGCATTATTGTTGTTATTTGATAAAGAAAGGCAACTTTTTGGAGCATAGGAATGTCAAGTTCGGCAAGTAGCGATGATGATTATCAGGTGATTAGAAAGTAAATAATAATATTAAATAATTTCTTTTTTATAGTTTTGTTTATTATCAGACAAGTTTTTAAACAGCATCCAAACAGTACTGTAAATGTCTTAGGTTCCCTTCTGCGAAATGTGAAAACGGACAAAGAAAGTTCTTGAAAATCATGCAAAGAATTTATTAATAAAAAAATCAACAAGGGAAATTCTTTATCGTTCCGAATTTGACACATCGTTTAAAATTTTGCGGACTTCGAACAAGTTCTATTAATGGGTAAAATTTGTGAGATATCGTCAATATTTATATCAAGCACATCATCATATTTGCGTTATTTAGGTTAAGTCAGAATATTGGCTGTAACTCTTAATCCCACATAAACGACAACTTTTAAGAAATATCGGGTTTAGCCAACAATTTAAGTGAAATATCAACTTCATATTGTGTGAAGGATAATATTTTTGGACTACATTGGTCGACCACAAATTTTCCCAATGTCATTATTTTCAGTTAAAAAAAGAGGTCCGTTGAAAGGCTGACAATAGCGAACCATTAACCATGATATGATGATAATAAAACATATACACTACTTATTTATTAGCTACAAAAAAGGGAGTAAGATTTTTAAAACTGGTCTTAGTTTGGAAAAGATGTACAATGTCCAGGGCTGAGAATATTAACCTGTCGACTAAACGGACTGATTTTTTTTTTTATATTTCATTTATTTATTTCTTTACAGCAAAATTGATACCAATACATCGAAACCCTTGAAGGTTTATCCTTTGCCTCACATGTATGTTGTACGTGATTTGGTACCCGATATGAATCATTTCTATGAACAATACAGATCCATTCAACCCTGGTTGCAACGCAAGTAAGTTACTCCTAACAAAATCTATTTCAATTCCACTACAAGTCAATAAAAATCCGCCTTCCTTTTTTTAGAAACGAAGCCAGCGAGAAGAAGGGTAAGGCCCAATATTTGCAATCCGTTGAAGATCGTTCCAAATTGGACGGTTTGTATGAATGTATTTTGTGTGCCTGTTGCTCGACCTCATGCCCATCATACTGGTGGAATGCCGAAAAATACTTGGGCCCAGCTGTCCTCATGCAAGCCTACCGTTGGATCATAGATTCCCGTGATGAAAGCACACACGAACGTTTGGACAAACTCAAGGATCCCTTCAGTGTGTACCGTTGCCACACCATCATGAACTGCACACGCACCTGTCCCAAGGGTTTGAATCCAGGTCGTGCTATTGCCGAAATCAAGAAACTCTTGTCCGGTATGGCCAAGAAACCAGAACCCAAATTGGATACTGCTGCTTTGCACAAGTAAACGATTTGAGAAGAACGAACAACAACTATTATTATAGTGATTAATTATCGCTTTATAAATCCAAGTTTCCTGATATTCTCTTTGTACTTATAAAGTCGATCTGATATTTCTTTCCAAACTATAATTTATTGCAAAACACCAAACTTGTATTGAGATAGTTTTTGGCTATTCTTCATTTCAATGCTGTGCTCCTATTGTCATATTTTTGTCCTTAACTAAAACTTGAAGAGGTTGCTGTGTTGCTCCAACTGTCACCACCACTACCACCTTTTCTCTTTTTTAAGAATTATAAAGTTTTGAATCTATTTCTCAAGTTATCTTGTGTTTGTTTTATTTATTTTTGTTATTGAATTGAAATATTTTACAACTTTGACCAGACAAGAATACCACAAATTGAAAAGTATGTATTCTAATACATATTTAAGAAGCATAGAGTTTTTGGTGCAAAAGTTTGTAATAAACATGTAGTGAACTATCGTATATATTAAACAACATACTTACAGTATATAATGAAATAAATGCATAAACAAAATAACAGAGGTTTCTTTTTATTTCACATACAGGTATCTGTATTTTAAACCACAATATATAAAAAAAATTGTAAAAAACCATGTAACATATAGTTTGAAAATATTCTTTTTAAAAGTTCTAACGTTCAAAACTGTGCGCCGCAAAGTATGCTAAGAAATATAGCACTTAACATATTTACCCTACGTTTACACTGAAGGCATTTATTATAATGAGTGCTAAGGATAGCTCCATTTCGGTGCTATTTTAGTGGTGAAAGTAGCAACCATGGTAGAAAAATACAGGTAGATGCATCAACGCTTGGGAACATTGATATGTCAAAATATTTTAAATGTCTTTTCAAATATAAGTAGATTTTTATATGCTTTCTCATACGATGTCATTCGGAGGTTATTATAATTCGCATTTTTTCAACATTTTTTACAAATTTAAATAAATTTTCATTCAACATTTTCAATTCCAAAATTAGTTTGACAGTTCATTGTCTCAGCAGCTGTGTCGATGCAATTGCCTATATTCTTCTACCATGGTAGCAACACAGTACAGAAATGTAAAATTAAGAAGACAACAACAACAATGCCTGCATACAGCTGATAAATATAATTTACTGTAATTTACTTTGTCAAATTGAACTACATGCAAACGGGCTTCCATCTCTGCTTTGTGTATGTACAATGGAATTTTAAATATACTTTTCTAAAAATGAGGTGTTGTCAAATGAATAGTTTTGAAAACAAATTGTAAACATATGAATCCATGACATTTCCTTCTTAATTCTATCATGGATAATATATGCTCTGTTCCAGTACCTTTAAGAATCTACTATTTTGGCAATTTTCTTCGATATCATAAAGAGAAAATCGGTAATCATAGTAAAAAATTTTACACTCTTGCAGTTCTGGAACATTGCAATATTTGGCAGATATATAAGTAAGCATATATTTGACAGGATTTTGATAAAACTTTGATCTGTTCCAGAACCTGCAAGAATTTACTACGTTTGCATTTTTTTTCCAATTAAAACTTTTACTTTCTTGCAGTTCTGGAACAGACCATTTGTTGTTTTGTTAGGAATTGAACTGAATGAAATGCCTGTGTCAGATTTTCCACTTTGACTTGTCGTGGTGTAAAAAGTTGCTGAAGAGAACATACAAATAGAAGAAAGGAGCGCCATTTATTTAAAGTAAATTGAACAAAATGTGTAAAAGTAATAGTTGAAACTATTACGTTGCAGAGCACAATTACTCTATTCCAGTACCTGCAAGAATCTAGATATCAAAAGTAAAAATCTGTTATCGTAGTAAAATCTTTGAAGTGTTTGCAGTTCTGGAACATACCAAATAATAATGAGATTGTTCAACTCATTTTTTGAGTTACCGATTTAAATTTTAAAATAATTTTTTCCAGAACTTCAATATTGTTAAAGTTTTTACTACGATAAACGGTGTTTCCCATGGTAGAAGAATATAGGTAGACGCGTCGACACAGCTGCTGGGACAATGAACTGTCAAACCAATTTTTGAATTGAAAATGTTGAATGAAAATTTATTTAAATTTGTAAAAATTGCTGAAAACGCGAATTATAATAGCCTCCGAATGACGTAGTATAAGAAAACATATAAAAATCTACTTATATTTAAACATTTAATTTTTTTTTTGAAAATCTTATTCAAATTTGTAATAACCTCCGTTTGACGTCGTATAAGAATACATATAAATTTTTTCTTGTATTTAAAGAAACATTTTAAAATGTTTGATATATAATTGTTTCCAAGTGTTAATGCATTCTCCTGTATTCTACTACCATCGTAAAATCGTTGATGTAAAGTACAACTTAGATTCGAGACCGGAATGTGTAAACACCATAAAAAAAAACCATAAGCTATTTAAAACAGACTTGCTATAGAATTGAATGATTAAATCTTTTTGTACAGTTTCCTTATAGTACGTTTATATATATGAGGGTTAACCCACTGGATTTGGATTTAAATTGTCATACCCATTACTTTTACTTCAAATAAAACCTCTCAAAGTAGGTTAACCCTATAAAAAGTTCTAACGTAAACATGGCATTAAATCCAGGCATATAATCCATTTTCCGCGCTGTTAAATAATTAAAAAAATATTTTTCAGTAATTGATATGGTAAGCAGACATTCCTATTCTCGATGCGACCACATTAACTCAATCAAAAAATAATCGATTATTCCATCTACCATGATATCGATTAGATCAAAGACGACTTTGTTATCCCTAGTCACATTCATTCGCATATTTTCAATTAAATTGAACGGACGTGTCTGGCTGTACTCCCCAGGTGTATGAGTTGCGCGTGTGTTTTTCAATAAGAAATAAAGGAAATACAATTAAATGTGCAAAAGAAAATAAAATTTATAAAACAGCATAGTTGATGACTAACTCAAATAAGAAACGAAAAATAAAAGCTCTCAAAGTGTAGAAGAATATTTAAGAAAATATTTGTGAAAAAGAAGCGCAGTTTATGTGCAAAAAAGTAAAAGAATTGAAAAGAAAAACTTCATAGAAAAAGTACTGGATAAGAAAAATATAAAAAGTGTTGCTTTCAAAAAAGAAACACACTACAACATAATTATTGTATTGAAAAAAGTAAGTGGTATTTAAAAGTTTATCAATTGTGATAATCAAAATCTACTTACTCTCCAAAAAACATTGATGACCGCATTTTTAGTGCTTCACTTTTTTCTTCTTATTCGTATACCATGTCTCGACGCCGCTATGTTGTTTTTGTTGTAATTAAAAGAAGGAAAAATTATTGTATATATTTATTGCCGTATTGTGTGTTTGCTTGTTTGTTGCATTCATTTGTTTGCGCTTGGGTGTGTGTGAGTGTGTTTGTGCGCCGTTTGTATTTCTAATAGCCAACTGCCGCCGCCATGCATTTGTTTGACTGAGCGCGTCCTATTTTGAGTGGCAGGCAAAATATGCAAGAATGTAGGAAAACAAGTTTGAGCCAGCCAATAGCATTTTTTTGTTTATGTTATTCACTTGGAAAATTTAAGATTTGTTTTTACAACTGTCAGCGTCATGTGCGGACCTCCAGCGTGTAAAATTTCCAATTCCCCCCTTTATTGTTGTGTCTACCTTGTTTGTTTTTCTTTTTTGTTTTGCCTGGTTGGTTTGTTGTTGGATAGTAATGAACATGTGTGTTCAAGGAATGTCGTCTGGCCGGGTGCCTTGTAATAAGGAGAGAGAGAGCTGAGCAGAGCAGCATTTAGTGTTGCCAATTGTCATTGAGGTATTAACAGAGGTGTGCGCTTTGCAAAAAGTCAGCACTTAGAAATTTGTAATGCTAATTCGAAGCGTTTTGCAAGCAAAATAGAAATATATACATTGTGAAATCCTTGAAAATGAAATACATAGCGTGTGTACATATACTAGCGGTAGGAATGTGCTTAATGGAGGTACTTGGTAAACAAGCTGTTTACTTCAACCTTCGTCGCCCATCTTCCATATAAGTTGTTAAACTATTGCGACAGTTAAAAATGAAACACGCTTCCTTATCATTCTTAAGCTGTATATAATTCCCAAAGGAGGTTCGAGGTAATGTTGCAAATTAAAAAAAAGAAATACGACTTCTTAAATTACTCCTTCGCCGTTACTATGGATGCTTATTTTAGTGAGGGGCAGAAACAACACTGGATCGGCAAAAACAGCAATTATGCAATGAATGTTATTTTTCTGAACATCAAGCGATACAAATTCATGTTGGATAATATTCCTACTTCCAGGGGTAACGAAGAAAATCCTGCGCTTCTTTAACTAAAACTATACAACTTCAAACAAATGTGAATATTCAGCAGAGCAAAAATAGGATATTTTGGTGACTGTTAAATATACCAGAAATCGCAGCCCCGGCCGAAGGCCTTTTACATACAACAACTGTAAAATTTAGAAAACTCTGGTTCTCGTGGCCTTTTGAACATACCCAGAAGAGAATATCTCGGGACGCAGAAAAGATATAAGCACAAATTGTAGCATTTTGGAACGGTAGGTTGCTGATATAATTTGGCATCAATTTGGTTTACCCCCCTAATGGGCCCTTTTTCGACTTTTTGGGGGTATTTATAAAAATCCGGGTCCAAATGAGACCACTTGTTGCATAGATATTTTTCCGACTATACCTATATTGTCTATATCGCATATGTATCGCATACGTAGCTTCCAAATTTTAGCGATTTTGAGTATAACTTATATGATAATAATTTTCGAGTGTATTCATAAGGCTTTCTAGAAAGACATAAATGAACTGTATGATGAGGTCGTTATTGGCCGTTACAACCTTCAACAATATTACAAAATTTATATTTAATTTTATTTTTCACTTTTCATATATTGAAGATTTTGTTTTCGAGTACAGTTGTTGCTTTTGATTAAACAAAAATATATTTATGTTTTGCTTTTGCCTCTTTATCACATCGTGTGACTTGCTTCACGAGAACAAAACGTTTGCGAATATTTCGATCGAAAAACAATTTTCTTTGTTGCTTCCTATTTTTGGCTGACTAATCCACTAGTGAGGAAAAAAGTATGTTTTTATTTCGCGATGTTTCACGCAAACACAGAGATATGAACGAGCATATGTATGAATGTATGTTTGACGTCAATGTCTATATGTAAGCAAAATCGACTATGTGAAAACTTTCGAATTCTACCGTCTATATTTAGTTGACAAAATTGTGCTTATTTCGACTTTTATTTTGTTGGGTTTATTTTTCATTTATTTATTTTTATTTATATTTAAACTATAATGGTTTCCTCTGTTTTTTTTTTTTTTGTTTCCTTCTAACATGTTCTAAGTCAACATAAATACTCTTAGCCCAATTTGTTCCCATTCCCATGTACTGTTTTTCTTGCTTTGTTTTTTAGGTTTTGGCTGGATGCCTTGATTTTTGCCTTTTGGCGATCCCTGCAGAGAATTTTTATTCAAGTTGATCTGTTTGTTTTTTCTTCTTTGCTGTTTGCCTTGGTATATTTTTTGCACATCGTTTATGTTTACACACATTAAGTATGCTTGTTTTTTTCTGTTTGTTCAATTTTGTCTCGTTGTCTATTTTAATTATTTGGGTTGTGCTAAATTTTCTCCTCATCAGCAGCAGAAGAAGAAAATATCAATTGCATAACTAAGACGCTTGAGGTAGATTTCGATTTTTTGGGCCAAATGTTTGTAATGCATGACGTATTTGGCAGGAAGGAAAATTCCCTGTTTTTCAATAATAACGTGGAATTGCGAATAAAATATAGATATTTCGTTAATAGAATATTAATATGTAGCGGAATTTGAGTCTTGACGAGGAAAAACTCAAAAATATACGCATCACATAGACCATCGTCTACTTGGTCTTAAAAAAATAATAATAGTTAAAAAATTAACGTTTGTTGGTCTGTTTGTCTTTCGTTGAACCATTGTTCTTAAATTTTTTTCTTCAATCTTCAATGTCGTTTCTTTAGTCCCCATTTAACCGTACCACCCAGTATCCAATATTTTAAAGATTTCAATTAAAATTTCGATCAATTTAGCATTTTGTACCCTCGACCAGGAAAAAAACAAATTAACACAAGAAAACTATATATTTTAAACAATATTGAAATGAGCATATAATTTACGCCTATTACATTTTAGGGAAGAATTGAATGTCTTAAGATTAGGTGGCAGATTGTTGAAAATGCTAGCAATTCTTACATAGAAGGATTTTTCCAACAGAGGAGTCAAGCGTGGTATAACAATTTGCAGGTTCCTTACAGATCTCGAAAACTTAAAAAGGTCCAAAAGAGTAGAAGATGTCCTCAATTTAAAATGTTTGTAGAAGAACAACATTGACCTTAAATTCACAAAACACTCAAACGAACAACCAAGAAACTCTTTCACAGAAGGAGATATATGACCACGACGTCTGACACAAAAAACATATCGCATTACTCTATGAAACAATAGTTTTAACTTACGAAAAACAAAACCGTAGCTACCCCCAAAAATCTCAATACAATATAAAAAGTGAGGCATTATTAATGCATGTACCAACTGAATTTTAATCTTCTTAGGCAAAACTATGTCCAAGCAGTACAACTTCTTTAAAATAAAGTTAACTTTGGACACTAAAGAATTCACATGCACATCAAACACCAAACCAGAATCAAGAAACAAACCAAGACATTCATCGAGCTTACAACATTTATAGGCGTCCTATAAATGGAAACTCTAATTGAATCCTCTTGCAAGTTCCCAAAAAACATAACTTTAGATTTTTGAGTATTAATTGAGAGACCGTTACAGGACAACCAAGTTACCAACATATTAATATTAAAATCAATTGACGACTGCAACACATCCATAAACACATATTCTCCTTTAAACAAAATTTGAATGTCATCAGCAAATGCAAACGACATACAGTTCCTACCATTAATACAACTCAGCAAATCATTAACATACATAACGAACAATAGAGGGCCAAGAACAGATCCCTGTGGCACACCACTAGCGACATTATTCATCGGAATTGTTTCAAATTTGGTATTTGAAGTTCGAAATGGATACTACAGCCTAAAACAGAAAATTGTCTGTGTCATTCCAAATGGTGGAGGTTATTCAAAGTTCGTTCCGGCCGAACTTACAGCTTTTTTACTTTTTGTACCTAAAATGGATGGTATATCCCGTTTGCAACACCGCGAAATATTCTCGAAAAATTTAAAGCATATTTATGGTCAACGTATAATTTAATGTCGATTTATTATTTTGAAGTTTATGACTCAAATTTCCAGCTGTTATTTCAAAATTTTGTTTCTTAGTATGTATTTGAACATTATTCAAAAAATATTTAGAGTAATAACATGTTTCCATTGGAAACCGAACAACGTTGTTCGCTCTCAGAATTAGGTACACGAATTAACCCGTTCATACGGCACGATTCGTAATTCATAGTAAAATAATTCCTTTTTTCAAAAATTTTGTTTGATGATTTTAATAGGAATTTTAATAAATTACATTAAATTCTCACTAATATGAATAGAATAAATGATTGTTTTTCTCCCAAATATTTATTATATCAATAATTTTATAATTTTCATTCACGTTTTCAACTTTTTGTGTAAATGTTGACATTTTGAATATATTTTTGTATTTTTCTATTTTTAAATTCTGCTGGAGAGACACTTGTCAAACATTTTTTCTGTCAATACAAACATTTTGAAAATATTGCCTCTTTTGTTTGCAGTTTTCTGTGAAAATTTCAACTCGTGGACAAAATGCGTACCTCGGATGAGAGAGAAAACAAAATGTACTTTCGTTTGAATGTACATACGCCATTCAACATTGTAGTTTTCATTCATAATTTTCAGTCTTCCCAAAAATTTTTAAAATTTCATTAAATTTTCCTATTTTTAATTTTTAAATGTCATAATTTATTTTTTCGATAAATGCTCTCATTTGTTAGGGATGAGACATATTTTTTCGTTGTTCTGAGAGTGATTTGATTTGAACAACGTACAAATATGAGTGTTCGCTCAGGAAATTTTGTGTGAAGAATTAAGTAGTTTTTTCATAGTTAAGGGTCAAACAACGAATGGAGAGCGAATCAAGTGCAGTGGAAACGCCACATAAGGCCACTATATAGTGCCCAAATAACAATACCTTGAAATTTTCTGCCTCAATGTTTAACAAAATTAGCTAACATTTGGCATTGCGGGTCTTCAGTAAATAATATCAACTACTTTTAAGGAATGTTTAAAGTAGGTCCACTCCCCCATACAGGTATAGTTTCCATGAAACGGTACCTCCTTCTTTTAAAGCGAGGAAAACTTATATTCTCAAACTTCCGAAAGACTAACGTGTTATAACGAGTTCTGACTTTATTGACAGCAAAATCCACCATTTATTGACAGCAAAATCCACCACTAACTTCATGGTGGATGGCATTAAAATCTTGGACCAGTCGAACCAAACGCTACTGCTACTTGTTTTTTGCCTCACCTGTCTCTTAGCACACATTTTCTCCAGTCCTTTAATGATCCAACTGTCTTTAGTTAATTAAGCTTTTGTCTGACATTTTCCGATCTAATTTTTAATAACAATTTATCATTAATATTAAAGCTTTGTCGGACCCCACTACCCTTCATCAAACATATTAGCATTTTGCCCTTTAATGTTGATTAATCCACAATATTTAACATAAGATTGAGTATCTGCGTAGCTTCAAAAGAAAACGGCGGGAATTTACCTCCGTCCAGCACATGTTGTGGACACAGTACCACTTGGTCTGTTATTATTTATTATTTTTATTATTTTTTCTTAATTGGTTTTTGATTTCCAAATTAGGATGGACGTTAGTTTTTTAAATTAGCACTTTTAAATTTCTTACATTATTTTGAAAACTACAGTGAATTAAGGTGTGTTGTACGACAACTCATCAATAATATATGTTAGAGAGAGAAACGTAAAAATGCGAGAATTTTAGTTCCACAGAGAAAACGAATTTCTGAAAGTTCAAGGCCTTCTCTCATTACAGAGTGAGATAAAAAACTGCAACCATTTTTACCCCCAAAATGGAGGGTATATTCCGTTTGCAACACCTCGAAATATTCTTGAAGGACCCTTAAAGTATATTTATGATCAACGCAAAATTTAATGTCGATTTATTTAGATCCATCCGACGGCCGGTTGCAATCACGTAGGTCTCACAGCACTAAAGATAGTGCTTTGAATTTTGTACAGGCATTTAAATTTTACCTTAGATGTTTTCCTTCATATTGAGGTCCATGATTAGGCACCCGTACCTCGTGATTTCCGTTTTTTAGATTTGTTCCTAATATCCAAAAAATATGCCGTAATTTGTATTTTGAAATCTCAGTGGGTATTTTAACTCCTCAAAAATTATTCAATGTGGTCCACTTTTTGGTTGAGCCCCCATAAAACGTTTTTTCGATTTTCTCTGTTTTGAAGGTTATGACCCAAATTTCCAGCTGCTATTTTAACATTTTGGTTCTGAGTATGTATTTGAACATTTTTCAAAAATATTTAGAGTAACACCACTATATAGTGCATTGCGGGTCTTCAGTAAATAATGTCGCTATCTGCGACAAGATGAAAATGTCCTCAAGGCGCTAGGCGGCAGCTCTTGGGGTGCGGACAAAGAAACCTTATTGACCTCTTATAACGCGATAGGTCGGTCTGTGGTCCTCGGAGTCCACCCCCCATCCATTGGAGCTGAAGAACGTCAGCTGCCTAGACAAACCAGGGTAGTTTTGGCGCAATTACGTTCAGGATGGTGTAGTCGTCTCAATTCGTATTGGGCACGAATTGATGAAGATGTGCGTGTCGCCTGCCCGGCGTGCGATACAGGCCTGCACAATACGCTACACCTCTTTAATTGCACAGCCAAACCTACCCAACTCACTCCAGAAGATCTCTGGCTACAGCCCGTTAAAGTAGCCGAATTTCTAAACCTGGAGCTGGAACCAGATTAGCAGAACGCAAACACATATATGTACTACTGCTACAACAACAACAACCATCAACCTCATGGTGGATGGCATTTTTCTCAAGTATTTGAATGCTCCAGCTGTCTTTAGTTAATTAAGCCTTTGTCCGACATTTTTTCCGATCTGGTTTTTAATAACAATTTATCATTTACATTAAAGCTTTGTCGGACGCCACTACCCTTTATCAAATATATTAGCATTTTTGCCCTTTAATGTTGATTAATCCACAATATTTAAAATAAGATTGAGTATCTGCGTAGCTTTAAAAGAAAACGGCGTGAATTTAAATATCTGTTGTACCTCGTCCAGCACATGTTGTGGAATTTAGCGGGTAAGAGGAAGGGAGCACAAAAACACATTTCTGTGGTGAATCATAAAACAGCTTGGAAAGGCGGGAGACTACGTACATATAACAAAGGCAATGTGTTGTAAACAGTTTGGCGGGAAAATTGTTGATACCCATCGTTGTTGTATCAATTGGGTCGATGATGTTTATTATCATCATCTTCATATTCAAACGATTTAGCCTGTTTTTTTGCATTATTTGCCGTTACCGACCTTCGTACTTTTAAGAAATTTTATTTGATTTTCATTAATAGACTTGAAGTGTGGCTCTTCGTTTTAGTCTAACAAAACAAATACAGTCAAAATTATGTTTATTACATTTTATTTGATTTACTCGGCGAAGAGTGCTTTAAATGAGTACCATGTGGTAATATAGTTTCTTAATTGTTGTTTGATTTCTAAATTGGGATGGATCGATGTTAGTTCTTTAAATTAGCACCTTTAAATTTGTGACTTTATTTTGAAAACTCCAATGAATTAAGGTGTGTTGTATGACAACTCATCGATAATATATGTTTGAGAGAGAAATCTAATTTCCAGAAGTAAAAATAACGAGAATATTGTTTCCACAGAAAAAAAAAGGAATTCATGAAAGTGCATTATATCCCTTCAATTAATTGTGTCTAGTTTTTCGTATGTAGAAATGGCAAACCCTATTCTAAAAGGTTCATTTTCTTGCTCATTTATTATCTATTCAAAAACATAACTCTTCCTTGTTTTTCATTAAAAATTCAATTAACATGCTTGGCTAATTACAACACCCATTACATACTAATGAGTTAGTACCCATCTATGTAGTGGTCTTCTCTAATCATGTCTCAAGGTCTTTGTCTATCAACAACTCATATCTTTCATACAAACTTGGTATTCTTCATATCAATGTTACAAAATGAACTCGCTCGCAATGTTTATCTTACTTATTTACGTTACTTCGTGGCATAACTCGTAATAATTTGTTTACAAATTTATGTTTAGTTTTGGAATTTCTCGTCTAAATGGAAACTTTTTTTGTTGATATTTATAGGTTTTTGGGCCACCGGAAAGAAAGCAAGAAGGTAATATTTACATCGGGTGAGACATGAGTGAACACACCATGGAAACGAGACGTAGGTCTCGATCAAAAACCCCATTTTTACGTTCCAGTTGTGACCACGAAAATTGTGATCACATTGGTGATGAGCCACATACACATCATCACAAAAAGAAGTCCACGACATCACAATTACCAAATGTTCGGTGAGTATTTGGTCTTAAAATAATACGAATATATTTGAATTTTTTTTCATAGATTTGAGTAATAGCTATATTAAGTGATTTCCTCATGACAGCATACCTGTTTGGGGGATTAAACTTATTTAGAAAAAAAAAACAAACTACAGCGAATGAAGAGAATGGGCAAAGATATTAAACAATTTTATTGAATTTGTTGGATTATTTGGATTGTAGTATGATATGCCTCAAGATAAATACAACTTAGGCCATAGAATGTATTCGATTCTAAAATCTGAAGAACTATATTGAATTGGGATGAAATGAGATAGTATTTAAAATATATAATTGTGACCTACAAACGGGGATTTTTGGAGAATATTTTCTGCAGGATGATCACTAAACTTAACTACAATCGGGGATTTTTAAGAATATTTTCTAAAGGAATATCAGAGTTATAATTAGGAATTTGCTAATAATATTTTCTGAAAGACTATCACAGCTATCTATAATCGTGGATTTTTAAGATATTTTCTGGAATATTTTCCGAAGAACTATCGGAACTTTAAACGTTGATTTTTTGAAAGAACACTTTCTGAGGGACCCTCTGAACTTTAAAATTGGATTTTGAGAATTTCCCTAAAGCGATTAAAGTAGATTTTAATAATAATTTGCAAAAACTTGCAGAGCTTTTGTTTAAAAAAAAATTCCGAACGACTATCAAGGACTATCAGACCTATAAACGGAGATCTTAAAATTATATTTTATTGCGATATTAACGTGGGTATTTAAAAAAAAAGTGAAAAGCTATCAGTATATTTTCTGGAGGTCTTTAAGAGCTATTAATGTGAATGTTTGTTAAAAAATACTTGGATTTTACTTGGTAATCTATCGCGAGCCTCGTTTCCAGCTAATTCTTTTTCACGGCATTTTTGCCCATTCCCGGTGAAGCGCTTGCTTGAGGTGATCGACACTTTGGTATTTCTTAGTGGTATGCTGAGTCCTGTTGGAATGTCCCAGGTCTGCGGCCAAAGTGTTTGTGCCTACCCAAGGCTTTAATACACCTTCCAGAATATTTTCGCGATAATATTCGGCATTTATTCTGATGCACGGTCGATTAATACGAGCGGAGAGCGACAATCGGCTGTTATGACGACCCACACCATCACCATGGCCGGCGCTTGAGTTCTGGTGGCCAACCGAAGTTTCACATTTTCAGCTGATCTCTTTGGCAAGTAACCGCGATCATTTCGTTTGTTTACAAACTGCTAGACAACGTATGTTATCTCATCGGAGAAAACCAAACTCGGCAGTTCACCACTTTCGGTCAAGCGAAGCAACTCCTTAGCTCTTTTGACTATATATTCTGTTTGTTGCGAGTAAGTTCTTGAAATTTTTGCTATTTCAGTGGTTTTACCCCGAGCTCATTTTTTAATATTTTTTCGAATGGAATATTGCTATATGTTCAGCTCACAGGCGCGGTATTCGATCAAGTCGCTTCTTTACTTTTCGAACCATTTCTGCTGATGTTGCTGTTCTCTTCCATCCACTTCCTTGACGTCGGGCTACGCTACCAGTATCACGGTAACGAGAGATGGTACGAGACTCAAAAGATTTATTCACATTTAAATGCTGGAGTGCTCTAACGAAAGCCACTTGTGGTTTTCCAACCAAATATAAAGAAATCACACTATCACGCTTGAATTCCATCACGAATAACTTTTTTCTGGAAAATTCTCACCAAAATGCTTTTGTACGCTTGTAAACAATATAATGAGCTGTCACTGGAATAATTTTAACAGCTGTCGGACGAGTGGCTTGGAAATGACAGCTGTCTGAAGTTGGTTGCAGTTTTTTCATCACATCCTGCATTTAGATTATTGTCGTTTTTTAGCCACTCAAATATTTATATTGCAACTTGGAAAGGTGGTGTACAAAGTCAATCTGGAGACAGACATTCGAATGAATTTAGCTGGCTAAAGAGATAAATGTTTTATCTGAATCAATTCTCCATAGAAAACTTTTTTCTAATGCAGCCTTGCTAGATCATCTAGCCATCGATCAATGCCTAATTTTGAAATGAAAAAATCAAAATCATTGAACTGTATTACACGTTTATTTCGTTCGTATTTATTTCCGTTTAGTTATTTTTGATTGTCTAAGCCAACCTTACCTAGTTCAATAATTTCATATTTGAATCTAATTTAAAAGATAAACAAAATCTAGTTTACCTCACTGTTGACAGTGAGCGAGACATAAACATACATGGTCATAGCCTCCCGAATCAAAGCTTTAGCTATTTACTTTCAGTTTATAACAAAAATTAATAAAAAAAAACGTGTTTTTTACTAATATCGTGACAAAACGAAAATAAATAAACTGAGTTTATAACGTAAGCAATAACGTCATCGCTTGGTGGCATTGATTACAATCAGCAAAATCTATACATAACTTGTTCCAAACAACTCGTACGTTAGAAAACTAATAACATTTCTATTAAATAGTTTTCAAATGTTTACCTTGATATAACATGATTGTACCCCCTTCCTCTAGAGATGTTTCTATCAAATGAAACAATTTAAATCACCTTTAGGCGGGGTGGGTGGTTGGCTGTTGTTGTCTCTAATCAAAAACCAATTTCGCATGTTTAGATATCGTTATTTCAATCGAATAACAAACGTGGTATTAAGAGGCCACCGGTTGTTGTTGCTGCTGTGGTTTATATACTATGATGATGTGGTGATGTTTGTTAGGCACCACAGCCAGTCGTCAGCCACCACTTCCAATACAAGCCCACATTTGGCGCAATTTGTCTTTTGCTTTCAGTTTTATTTACAGTATCGTTTTTGTTAGTCAACACAAAGCTTCGCTCAAAAATTAGAAAAAAAGGTTTGTTTTTGTTTACACTGTACCCCGACACAAATGGCGGGCAATTTTTAGATTTGGCCATCTCCAAGTTCTTCACAACCACTCAGCTTTGTTACCTGCTTCGCCGCCGCTCCACTATCCATAATTAACTATGATGTCATATTGTGAATAGTGTGTAGTTTGAATTGTTTACATTTTTAATGGAAGGCATTTTTGATGATTTTTTTTGGTAACTTCACCACATGTTGTGTGGTGGGAGCGGATTAGTGAGACTTGTCGTGAGTATGGAAACATATTATAAGTGGGTAAACATTTCTATATGTTATTTAACCCTATCGCTGTGATGGTACCATAATGCTCCACATACAATCATATATATTTTCACTGAAATAATCAGCAGGTCAATATTTGTGAGCATGAAACTTTAAATCATAAACTCAAAAGCAAGTGTCTCCGGGTTAATGAAATGAAAAAGGAAGTTTTAGAACTGATAACAGTCTTGGAATCCTTGTTCAACATACCATTGTTACCTTAATATAGACCGTTGATCCATCCTCTACGCCGATGATAAGCCCTTAGACGGAGAAATATTTCTGACATTTTTTTTCCACATATATTCTGATTTTTCGTAGACAATTTCTTGAGATGTAGGCTAATGTGCATGATTCAAGCCATCGCTGCACTATTTGAAATCAGAGCCACCTCTAGTATGTATTAGCAGATACTTTTTTTATTCGGCTCAAGTCTGAAGGTGAAGGTTGTGCATGTTGATTATTGGCAGTACATGTGCCTAGTTCGCCACGCGGGTACCTATGCTGATGATTTTGTCTCTTACAGTTATTTCTTTTCTCTGGCTTCAGCTTGCCTGCTTGTCAAAGCACTGTAAGCCCAACTATTTTCCCATAGTACGTCCTTGGATATCTGGTGAGATCACCAACTGCAAACAAAAAACTTTTTTCTAAAAAAAATTAAAAGGCAACGTATTTTCAGAAAAGATTTTTAAAAATCAACCTACTTGCCCCAGATTCTTAAAATCCACAATATAAAAAAATCTACAAAACCACTTTTATGGTCTGAGCGGCCTTGGAAATTAGAAAATTGATTTACGTTTATAGCTTTGGTATTCCCAAAAGAAATATTCTTTAAAAATCCCCTATTACAGCTCCCTCAGAAAAAAAATTTAAGACCCTGAAACATATTCCTCGAAATCCACGATTATTAGTTTGAAAATCTTCAACAAAGTATTCTTTAAGAACACAAGTTTATAGCTCTGATAGTCCTAGAGAAAAAATTCTTTAAAAATTCTCGTTTAAATCTTTGACCTAATTCCTAATTTAGAGAAGAATAAAGTAATAAAAGGGAAGGAAGCTAATAGTGAAGAAGAAGAATCGTGTATTTGACGATAGGAATAGAGAAGGTAGTAGGTAGTTGAGTAATAAGTGCTCCACCGTCTGTGGTATTCAGTATCGATAGATTTGATTGTAACCGAATTTAGAGCCTTCAGGGCCGCTTTGATTCTATTTGCCAGCAGTTCTATGGCCTTCCTGTCAGCAAAGATTTTTGCCTGAAAAACGCTGCAGTAGTAGTTTATTTTGAAGGATCTTTGGATACTTAGGCTTTCACAGAAGACCCCTGCTCCCGTTCCACTTTATAGCTCTGATAGTTCTTAGGAAAATTTATCTTAGAAATTGCTTGAAAAAATTCTCTTTAAAGATCCACGTTTATAGTTCTGACAGTGCTAGAGAAAATATTCATAAAACCACGATAAAATATCTAATTTTTCTTGAAAAACAAGTCCTTGAAAAATGAAAAATGCGATGTTTTAATAACATGGGCTTTTAAACTGATAACCATCGAATAAATAATCTTCAAAAACTTATTACTTATTTGGGGTACCTTTAAAATTCTCCAAAAATCTAGAGGTTCATGACAACTGAGTTTTATTGCGCTACTTGGAAAATTTAGACAAAATTCAGAATTGTTAGCCTAATGTAATAAAGTCTTCTTAAGAATTCTCAATTGATTGTGGTCCTTCCAAAAATATTCCTCAAAAATACCGGGTTTCCTTTCATTTTTCTAAACGAAGACATGGCCCGTAGGCAGTCTTCAAGCCAACAATTTTTCACTGATCGTCTTTTTAGGAACTTTTGTTTCCGTTTCCCCTTCTTGGCATAGGCTATGGCTAAAAACTACTTTTTGTAAGTCTAAAGATTTGAATCCAAATCCGTTGGCATAACAGCCAACTCCGTGAGGTTTGTTTAGCTGCTGAGTGTTTAGTTGATATTCATCTCTTCTTGTACGGAGCAGTGTATACCACATGTTCAGCTTCGCCGACCACAATCTTATTTTAATTCTCTTAACATTTTATTTTTCTCCCCAAAAATATTTCGAGTTCCCTTTAAACAATGACGTAATTTCGCTTTGGTGTTTATTCTACGTTATAACTTTATTTGTTTTTTTTTTTTTTTTCTGGTCGATTTTGACCGTCATTAGTTTGTTGGCCTTACATAAATCAGAAGCCAGCCATCCAACAGTATTGTTCATTCAACCAGATATTACCCTACCGCACCTCATAATTATTGAAGTCGTCATCAGGTCATAGCCGTCGTCAGCATGTTGTGTTGAATGCTTTCATTGTTGTGGTCGTCGTCGTCTCCGTTTTCCCTCCAAACAGCATATTTAAAAATTTCAAGGTCAAATAACACGTTTGAAAATGTTTCTATATACATTTCGTTCGCACACACATATTTTATGTATTTTTTTAATTATTTATTTATAGTTTATTTTTCTTACATATTTATTCTGCGTTAAACGAAGAGCAAAGTTTTTTTGTGAGTTATTTGAATATTTGCTTCGAGTTTGAATGTAAGAATTTATTTTGATTTCTCACTGCGTAGAAAAATGTCTTGTAAAAAATTGACTATATTGGTGGAATATCGGGTGTTTTGAGGAATTTTAACAGAACTGACTGTAATCTCGTTTTTTGAATTCTTAATATTGTGTCCTTAAAAATATGATTAACATACAGGGTGAGATGAACAAACCGCAACTAACTTCAGAATGCTGTCATTTCTAAGCTACTCGTCCGACAACTGTTAAAATAATTCCAGTGACAGCTTATTATATTGTTTTCAAGCGTATAAAAGCATTTTGGTGAGAATTTCCCAGAAAAAAAGTTATTCGTGATGGAATTCAAGCGTGATAGTGCGATTTCTTTATATTTGGCTGGAAAACCCCAAGTGGCTATCGTTAGAGCACTCCAGCATTTAAATATAAATAAATCTTTGTGTTGCTCGTTACCGCGATACGGGTAGCGTAGCCGGAGGTCAAGAAAGTGGACGGAAGAAAACAGCAACATCAGCAGAAATGATTCGAAAAGTAAAGAAGCGACTTGATCGAAACCCGCGTCGTAGTGGCGAAAAATTGTTCGTAAACTGAACTTATCGCAATATTCCATTCGGCAAATATTGAAAAATGAACTCGTAAAGCCATTAATATTCCAAAAAGTGCAAGAATTTACGCCGAAACGTTAAGAAAATGGACTCAAAAGAACTTAAGAGATGCTTCGCTTGGCCGAAAGTGGTGAAATGCCGAATTTTGTTTTCTCCGATGTGAAAACATTCGTTGTGCCGCAGTTTGTAAACAAACAAAAAAAAAATGATCGTGTTTACTTGCCAAAAAGGTCAGCTGAAAATGTGCACCTTCGGTTGGCCACCAGATCTAAAGCGCCGGCCATGGTGATGGTGTGGGCCCACATAACAGCCGATTGTCGCTCTCCGCTCGTATTAAACGACCGTGGAATCCGAATAAATTCCGAATATTATCGCGAAAATATTCTGGAGGGTGTAATAAAGCCTTGGGCACGCAATCATTTTGGCTGCAGACCTTCGACATTCCAACAGGACTAAACTAATTCTAAAATTAGATGCTATTTCAGAAAGTTTTTGCTTTCATTCAATTCAATTTTTAAAAAAAAATTGGCGTGTGACTTTGTTGCAGTTTTTTATCTCCCCCGTATGAGCACGTTTCGAGATCGGCCTTATTTTAAAAACTCAGCAGTTCTTTTGTAAAGTATTATACTTAAGCTTTAATGTTACTAATTACTAGTGGTGGTTCAATAAGTACTAGAAATGCAACCTTGCTTCCAATCCACTTCGTTCATCCCGAATTGCGGACTTTCTTATGACAGAGATTTATTTCGAGATTTAAAATTGGTTTAGCATTTGAAATTATATATAATTATTTGATATTCCATCCTGAAAATCAACAATATTAACCTTATTTTCTCATTCTTTCCAGAACCATAATTGAAGAGACCGTGGAAGTGACATCATCTTCATCGGTCGAGGCTAGTGGTAAAAATAGTCCCTCCAAAATGACACAAACCAAAATCAAAACATCAGATTACTCCAGCGATGATAGTCCTGAAAATAAAACAAAAACAACAAATACAAGGGCTATAACATCAGTATCTAGTAATTCCCAGCAGCAACAACAACAACAGTTTAGAAGTCAAACTGGCGGTGGGGTAACAGAAAGCAAAACCTCCAGCACCACCACAACTGTTGTGACAAAGACCAAAAAGTCTGGAGGCAGTGTGGCCACATCAACACCAAAAGCCAGCAATTTTATAACACATTTTGCTTCCCAATATTCCTCAAGAGGAAGTGGCGGTGGTGCTAAGGCATCCAAGGCTCAAATCGAAACACGATATGAAGAGAAAAATGTCAAGGAGCACACACAAAATGTTTTGAACAGTGAAAAGGAATTGAGCAAGAGCAAATCATATTTGAGTGGGTTTTTGGGCAACTCCTTTAGTTTGGATAATTTGGAGGCCAGTGATCATGTGGCCTATTTGGAATACAAAAAGGCTGGAGAATACTGGAAGTAAGTTCAACGGAATACTTTTTCAATAATTTCTTTATATTAATTATTTTTTTATTTCTCCTAGGACCACCCCCAAAACGGATTACACCTACTCTGAACTATCGCCACACCGTCGTGTATTGGCCCCCGGCATTGTTGCCATGCCCAATATGTCCCGCAAATCTTTGGAAAATCATCATGAACGCATCAATTACATGATTGAACGTGATCCTGCCCAAGAAGAATACATACGACGTCGCTATGAATCTTCAAAATACAGCCAAAATAGAAGCGCTGCTGAAAAATTGGCCTATGATTCGGGTGATGAGGTTGATTATACATATCGTAGAACCGCCACAAATCTTTACAATCAGCATCACCAGTTGCAGCAAGAGTCCTGGTTAATGCGTTTCATTACCACCATTGTTACAACCCTGACCACAACATGGTCCAGCATTACTGGGTCGTCGAATAGTGAACAAAACGGTGGAGTTGGCCGTTACACCAGCTACAGTGGCAGCAGCAGTATGTATCACACGAAATTGGCTGAAGAAGATAGAGGTTGGTTTTCAATTCAAATGTGTTTTTCTGCTGTTATTTACTTAATTTTATTTTATTTATGCAAATATAGGGTTCTTTGGTTCAATGGCTTATGGCATAACCTCGGCTTTTGCATATTTCACACGTAATCTGTACTTGTTTATATCATCGGTTTTATGTTTGGACACATGGTTGCTGCAATCTTCAAGTGCTGATAATAAGAGCAAAAAACGTTTCCTCTTATTTTTGTTGATGCTGTTGCCATTGTTGTTGTTGGCGGGTAAGTTTTATTTATTTTTTTTTTTTTGTAATTAATATTCAGCTTTTAAGTATTCAGTAAATTTTAATTTAAAAAAATCGTAAAAATCAAGACTTCTAGATCACTTTGAGGTCTTCTGTGAATACTTTGAGGTCTCCTATAGAAGACCTTTGAGATCGTCTATGGATATAAGACCTTTGAGATTTTCTATGGATAAAAGATTTTAGAGGTCTTCTTTGGACAGAATAAGTCTTTGAAATTTTCAATGGATCTCACAAGTCTTCTATGCATTGAAAACCTCTGAGATCTTCTATGGATAAAAAAGTCCTGAGGTCTTATATGGATAGAAAAAAATCTTAGGTTGTCTATTAATAGAAATCCTATTAGGTCTTTTATGGATAGAAGACCTTTGAGATTTTCTGTGCATAAAAGACTTTCGAGCTCTTCTATTAGACTTTTTAGGTAAAGGACCTTTAGATCTTCGAGGGATAGATGAGGTATCCTTTAAATAGGATATCTTTGAAGTATTCTATAGATGGGAGGTATTTATAGGTCTACAACAGATAGAAGGCCTTTGAGGTTTTCTATTCATAGAGGACATTTTATGAATTCTATAAATAGAAGACTTTTTAGATTTTCTATGGATAGAAGACCTTTTAGCACTTTTTCAGAAGACCTTATTGGTCTTTTGGATATAATGCCTGCATGGTCCCCTTTGGACAAAAACCCTTAGAGGTCATTTGGATAGAATACCTTTAAGGTTCTCCATGAATACAAGACCTTTAAGACCTTCAAGTATGAATATTTTTGAGATCTTTTTGGAATTTAAGTTTTTAAATGTTTTTTTTTTATGGGTGGGTCACTTTTAGGAAGTTTTCTGGGGTTTCTTTGATACAGAGAGAGAGAGAGAGAGAAAGATACACTTTAAGTTCCTTATTTTTCATGATTAATATAAGACACTTGAGAACGATTGATAATTGAAATAAAATTTAATATTTACTGAGTGATATACTATTTTTAAAATTGTTTACATTGCACGTTGTATTGTTATTATTTTTACAATATTCTTTTGGCTGATTACCATATCTCTAATAACATTTTTATCTATATTATATATATTTTCGTTTTTCAATTTCGATTTCAGGTACTTACTATTATCTACATCCCAATGAACCCTTCCCTCCTAAATCATTTTCTCAATATAATTTCCAATTACCCGAATTACCTAAAATCGATATATCCGAATATATAAATGAGGCAAAATATGAAGCATATAAACAAGAGGCTTTCAATCGTATTGAAAACGTGCGCGATTGGTCTGCCGATTATTTTCTATATTTAAAGACCGTCTCGCAAAATATCGTCGATGAGGGCCGTAAATTATTTCAACGTGACGAACATTTCGAACGTGTTTAATTCAGAGTTTCCTCCAATCGCGTATAAATTCCTTTTACAAATACTTTATGATTTAGTGAGGAGTATTTTTTTCTAAAGTTCTTATATAAGTTACGAAGAATTTAGGTTTATTTTTTTTTTGCGTTTTCACCAATACTTATTTTTTTCATGGAAAGAAAACAACAGCTAGCTTCTCAAAATAAAATTTAAATGTTTTAACATTAATTTTCCCATTTTTTGATATATAGAGTTTAATTCTATATATTTATATTTAGAGTATAGATTAAAAGACTTGAAAATAAAATTGTTTTCTATGTTATCCAACATAATTTTGTGCCATTTTTATACTTTACTAAAAAACTTCCCTTTTCATCAATTTGGAAAAGATTACTGGAATTAGAAATGTATTTTTTCTATAGATAGTTATATTACCTAAAATTCCAAATTGCCATTTAAAAATTTTTATTTTCTAAAAACACTTAAATACGCTGTTACTTAACGTTGTCCATTGTAAAATCTCGCGTGTTGTTTTCTTTCTTGTTTAGTATTTTTTTCATTTGATTTTTTAGTATTTTTTGTTAGTATTTTTTATTTATATTTTTTTTGTTATTATTTTTTAATTTTATGTTTTTTTTGTTTGTTATTATTTTTTATACTCTCTTCAATATCACCCTTTTCCAGGCTTTTTCCTACAATCACTACTAATATGATTTTTTTTAATAAATTTATTTTTTATATTTAGCCTCGTAAGTAGTAGCTCTTAGTCTTAGCTATTTTTCTCGCTCTACAAACAACAAAAACGTACAAATTTTTTGCATTTTTTCTTTCTCGGTTAATATCGATTTTAGTTTAATTCTCTTACATACATCCCACAAAAACAAAACCATTTGCCATCCCCCATGCCTAATACAAAAAATTATGAAAAAAAATCCATAAATATGGATTCTCCCATTAATTTAAAAGGAAACCTAGCGATTTTCCAAACCAAAACAAACCATCGTGCAAAGCGCTTTAAAAGCATTCACAAAAAATAGCAAATTTGGAGAAGGATAGAGTGTTATAACCAAAACCAACCGCTGCAATATATAAAAAATACATATATAATTTTTTTCTCTCACTACATATATTTCAAAAAAAAATATATAAAATATCATTATAGTTTTAAAACGTATTATATAATTAATACATCATAATATTATATAGTTTATTTTTTTTATGTTATATATACAGGGTGTACCGAAATATGTGAATTAAGATTGAAATGATGGGATAAACTAATTGGAAACGTTTAAACTGAAATCACGATTGCAATAGACGGAGAACAAATTTAGCTAATTGCGAATTGAATTAAGCAGAAAAGTGCACTCTTTATCAAAGAAAATTTCGTTACTGAAGGACAGAACACAAGAATGATATTCATAAAGACTTGATATTTCCAAGATTTTCCATTTTGGTAACTCAGAAATACAGTGACATAACTTGGAAAGAAGTAATTTTCAAGAATAAAAAATTATCTTCAAGAGGAGGATTAGATGAAATATTTGTCTGAAAAACACCAGGAGAGGTATATTAATCGTCTACAAATTCAAAATTGTTTCCTTAAAGTAAAAACTGCAAAATTATTAGATGACAAGAATTATTTTTTAATTCTGCAAGCTTTTCTCCTCACAAAGAATACCAAAAGTTCAAAAAAGTACAGGCTGCTTTTTCAAAAGTCTCCTCTAAGAAAACAAAACTCTTTTCTTAAAGAAGACGAGATGGCTTCTAACATATATCGATCAAAGATTCATTTTTAAAATATTTGAATGTCTCTCAGAGAAGAGCAAACGATCAGTTAGTCTTCAGTAATAGCAGACTAGATGACCGCTTTTTGATAGAAAATCAGCGTGTGGGAATTCATATAGGGATTGATAGATTATTCTCATAGAAAATATAGCATATATTTTATATGATCAAATGTCTGTCTTAAAAATGAGCAGATATCCTATTTCAAAGATAATCTAGCAGTCTTCTAGCGGAGAGCCATAAGCAGGTCCTAACGAGTTTGAGGAAAAAATACTTTTGGAAAAGACATTCTACAATATTTTTATACACAACATTTTTCCCTCTTACGTGCATCTGGGAAGATCCTTCCTTCAGGAATAATTGAGCTTCAAATCGTAGCCATTAATTGTTCCTATGGAGGGCCAGAAGATGACTTTCCCATAGAGAACTCCTCAAATATTGAAATTTTGGTCTTGTATAAAAAACACTTAGAATTTCAGAATCTTTAGGGTTTCGTTATGAATGTTATATTCTGTTGTGGATGGCCTTCTTAAACAGCCTTCTCATAAAGAGTCAGAGATCTTTTAAAGACATAAACAACTTTTGCCGGGACCTAGGGAAGAAATTCTTTTCTATCTAGAATATTTTGGAAATTCGACTATTTTTACCTCCAAAGAAAATAAGCCCGGCCTTATGTCTTATGTCCCTTGAAAGGTTTTTTGAAATAAATGGTCAGTTGTCATCTGTAAATTTTATATAGGGATCCTTTTCAAATGCGATTCGAAATTCTTCTCTCTTCTAATATATATTGGAAAGATGTAACGATACCGCCATATTTGAAAACAAATGTTCCATACCAAAAAATTTAAAGTCCAATTTTTTTAACGGCCTCCTATCTTCAAAGATAAATTTTAGTTTTGTTTTTGACCTGTTTTGCCATTATTTTGAGATTTTTATAAAATCTAATTTATACTCCGGTTCTAATCAAGGACTTCATAGTAAGATCGACCCTTATTTATTTGGAAAGTTGAAGTCTTTCCTAGCTATTAACCCAAAAATGTTTAAGTTTTACCTAAGAAGTCATTACGTCATAAGGCATTTATTTCAATTTATATCCCCGTTTATTTTGGAACGCCCTGTATATATGTAGTATTCTTTCTATCTTTTTTCTTAATTCACCGTGTGTCTTTACTTTTGAAATTAAAATGAAAGAACAGAACAAAAATAGTTGTTAAACAACTTTAACAGAAAATATTAAGATAAAATTTAAATTGTCTTTAAAAATATATTCTCATTTTTTTCTCTTCCTTTCGCTATCTTCAATTTGTAAGTTCTAAAATCGTTTAATATTATTTTTTTATTCAACAAATAAAAACACTTTGTAAACACACACACACAAACAAAATTTTGTTCCTGAGTTGTCAATTGTATGATATAAATGGAAGTTTAGGAGAAGGACAAGTGAAAGCTTATGGGAAAATGGTTTTATTTATTTTTTATATTCAAAAAGTCATATCAGAATATAATGAAAATTTTTGGTATTTATTTTATTTTATTGTTTTTGAAAACCTTTTTTTGGCTTCGGAGTTGGGGTCGATCACTTTCACCGTTTTGGGACCGTATCAATTAACCAAATGTTCCCTTTATTCTTATATACCACTTCATTTTTGTTATTGGACAAATATGCTCGGGTAGCTCTAAGTACTTCAAATGAAGCTAAGTTTGGTTTGAGAGATACACATCAACATCAGTTTAATAGCTCGTCTCTCAAACTTTGCAAATTCCTTGAGAAACTAATGTTTTCCCATAAGCTTTCGAAAATTTTAGGGGTAGGTTGAAAGGGAAGGAGGGTACGTTCTAAAAAATATAACTTGGGTGGGCGGGCGGAGTTGAGGTGGTAAGTATTCCTTTATGTTTCATGTATGACTATATGTAACTGTGTGTGTGAGTGGTGGTAAAGAGCAGAGAGGGGGAAAACAGTTGGCAACGAATTGGAAAAATACTCTATCCTTCTTCATTTGTTATTTTTGTTTGTTTGTTTTTTTTCGTATTTTTTAAAATTGTTAGCTACGCTTAAACAAATTTACTTAAATTTATAATTGGCCTTTAAATTTTCTCCCCTGCTTAAATACAAAACCCTTTACTAAATGTTGATCAACCCAACCTCGTTGTTTTACCCCGTATTTATTTTTGTATAACAAATGAAGAAGGTTCCACATTATACAGCGAGTATTTTTCTAATCCATTGCTTTTTTGTTTTTTTTCCTTCTCTCCTTTCCTCACCCACACCAACACCTTAGCCTGGTACCTGTTGGATGAAGAAGATCGTGTCGTGTATACGCAAAATTGGAATTCTCTGCTGCCCCTCTCGCTGATCACCACCCTCCGAGGATCGTTGTATACCAATGTCCATGCCATCAAAAGCTTTCTACCTCTATTCTTCTCTAGCCAACAAAGTTCTAGTCAAAAGAAATTGGATAACATCAAATTAGCTATGGAAAATTCCATGCCCACCGAGGATTGTGAAAATATTTTGAATCACATCAATTCCTATGTTCAAACATTGGTGGACCTTAAATTACAAGAACAACAAAAGAAGTTGGATTTGCAAGCGAGTAAGGCATCGTCGGAGCTATCATCGAAACAAATTAATTTAATAGTACAAATAATGAAGGAAAATTTGGAAGTTATATCGCGGCAAAAACGTGATCAAGACACTGCTGTAACACTCAGCGATAGTGACCTCAATCTAATAGTACAAAAAGTTATCGTAAAGCTACAGGAAGGCTCGGATTTCAAATTGCCCGTACAACTGTCTACCAAAAACATAGAGGAAATAAAACGTTTGGTCTCCCAAACTTTGGAAATTAACAATCATGCCCATTATCACACTTTGGTGGAAAATTTGGATCTCGATGCTCTGATAGCAAAGCTTTTAAAATCTTCTCTATTCACCACCTACATACACGATGAAATCTCCTCGCAGATCAATGAAAAACTACATGACAAACTTTTGGAATTACAAAACTTCCAAGGTTCCGCCGCGAAGGATGGTTCGGATAATTTTGCATTTTTGGAACAACAGAAATTGATTATTGAAAATTTGGGCCAAGAGGTGGCTTTCATCAAACTCTCCCTCAGCGATAAGCTTTCCGAAAACGAAGATCTCCACTATTCAATTAAACATTTGCAACAGACCCAAGATGATCTACTTGCACGTCTGCAGGAATTGGAATTTAGCACCGATCAACGGTTCTCAAATCTCATGCAAGAAATTTCCACCAAATTGAATACCCTCAAAGAGGAACAATTCCATTTGCTGAATCAGCAAGTGAAACTTTCTCTGATTGACATCCTCGGCTTTAGTTCGTCGCTGAAAGATGCCTCTAAATTCGATGATGGTGATTTACAACATTGGGTCAATTCAATGTTTGTGGCCAAGGATTATTTGGAACAACGCCTGTCGGACATCAACAATCGTACCCATGACAAAATCAAGCAAGAAATTGACAAATCTGCCATGTTCCTAATGCGTGACATAAGTGAGCGTTTAAAACAGGAAATCATAATAGCCGTGGAGAATAAACACAAAGAGACCAACACCAAGCTGGAGGGGCAAATCAAGGCTGCTCTGTCCGAGGAAGAAGTTCGCAATATTGTGAAATCGGTTTTGGCCATTTATGATGCCGATAAAACCGGGTTGGTTGATTTTGCGCTGGAATCGGCTGGTGGTCAAATATTGTCTACACGCTGTACGGAAAGTTATCAAACCAAATCGGCTCAAATATCCATTTTCGGTATTCCCTTGTGGTATCCCACAAATACCCCACGTGTTGCCATATCGCCTAATGTCCAACCTGGTGAATGTTGGGCCTTTCAGGGTTTCCCTGGATTTTTGGGTAAGAATTTGTGTGAATTACCTGTTCGAAGAGGGAGAAAAATTTGGAAACAGAGCTGAAACTCATTTCTATACTCACTTTGAAAAGAGTTTCAGTTGTGCTTCGGATCTGGTGCTTAATTATTTTATCCATATATGTTTTTCAGTGTTGAAATTAAACTCATTGGTCTATGTAACTGGCTTTACCCTGGAGCATATACCCAAAAGCTTGGCACCCAATGGAGCTATTGATTCTGCGCCCAAGAATTTCACAGTTTGGGTAAGTTAATAAAATTAAATTTAGTTTACAAAGTTGATTAAAATGAAGTCCTGCAGACCTATGAACTCCTCCTAGGGGCAAGGGTCTTATTGAAGCGGTTTATTAGACATTAAGAAGATCTTCTGAAGGTGTTCTAGAAATGGATGATGGTATTCTGAAAGTCTCTTGAGATTTTTTGTAGGTCAGTCTCAGGTTTAAAAATAAATTCGTCTGAATTTCTCCTGAAAACTGAAGACCTTCCAAAATACTTCTGCAGCTAGGAGTCTTTATAAAGGTATCTTAGACGACATTTATGAAGATCTCCTATAGACAGAACATCGTTTGAAGCGCTCTTTTAGAGATAAGACCCTCAAAAGGGATCGTATACCTTGAGCATCTTTTGATAGAAGTAACTTAAGGTAATTTAAGGGTAAATTAAACACATGAGATTTTAAGGATCTCCATTAGCTATTTGAACTTTTGAAGATATACCCTAACTTGGGGACCTTTGCTGAAGATAACAAAGAGACAGAAACCATCTGAATGTCTGCTAGATATGAAATACCTTCTGATAGACTCTCATAAGTTAAAGCTTTTCAAGATCATCTGAAAACAGAATACCTAAGCTAAGTGATATTTAGTTGATATCCCATAGCTTGGAGACCTTCTGAAGGTACCCGAAAGATGGAAAGCCTTCCAATGATTTATACTGAGGTTTCCTAGAGATAGAACTAGAATGTTATATTTTCTGGAGGTCCCCCCATCAATCTCCTATGCCTGGAGAAGATTCTGAAGATCATTTTAAAGGCCTCATATTGACCGTCGATAGATAGAAGACTATGAGCTATGAAGGTCCTTATAGTTAGAGGACCTTTGTCAATCTTAAATAGTTAGAATATCTTCTGAAGGCCTGATAAAAATAGAACAGCTTCTTAAGGTCTTAGTAAAAGAAAACCTTTAAATGGTGTTTCAGGCACAAATATTTTTGGGGTACCTTATGAATAGAGGACTTTTTGAAGTTCCCACATAGATAGTAGACTTTTCTTTAGAAAGAAAACCACTTGATATAAGATTTTTTGAAGGTCTTGAAAATTCTTCTGAAAGTCTGCAATAGCAAGTTCAACCTCTAAAAGTCCCCCATAGTTAGAGTTAAAGAACTTTTGGAGGTCTCTTATAGATAGCGGACCCTGTGGTTAAAGGGATTTAGGAAGTTCTCGCATAGAATGAACTCCTGATGTTCTCCTTGTGATAGAATACTTTCTGAAGGTCTGTTATTGGCAGACAAGGCCTTTCTTTCGCAAAACACCTTTTGAGGTTCTACTAGAAATGAAAATCAGAGACGTAGTATCTTTGGGGCCTTTGCGGATGAAGAATTTCCTCTTTAGGTCTTCTGTAGATAAAATTAGTTTTTGGTGTGCCGTTTAACAAAACTTTTTTTTATAATTTACCCCCACTCCCTTTTGCAGGGTCTGGAACACGAAAAGGATCAAGAACCCGTTCTCTTCGGTGAGTATGAATACGCTGATAACGACGCCTCTTTGCAGTACTTCCCGGTGCAAAATCAAAATATCAATCGGCCCTATGAAATTGTTGAGTTGCGCATTGAATCGAATCATGGTCAACCGCTATACACGTGTCTCTACCGATTCCGGGTACATGGTAAACCACCAACCACATAAGCATCAACAAAATGGAATAGGACAGAGTACTAAGCCAAAAGAAAAAAGTGAATACATCCCTCCCATTCTCCCCCAAAAAATGTCTATACTAAACTTAGCCATAATATAATTAAGTTAAAAAAAACATAGTATTTAAGAAAAGCACAAAATCATAAAAATTTACTTAATTTTAAGTTTAGTTAGGAAAAACAAAATGAAAAGCATATGTAAATAATTAAAACCTAAGTATAAATTTTGTGTTAGATATGTATGTATGTATTTAGGTATAGTTATGGAATTATCACTACTACTCAGCTAAAGTAAATAAGTGCCTTTTGGTGGTTTGTTGCGGATTTGCAAACAGAAAAATCAAACTTAGCCTTAACACGTTGAGATTCCTATAACCCTAAAGTGCAAGTTTAGAAGGACCCCTAAGCAGGTTCATTGTTAACAAAACCATTAACAATAAGGTAACACTTTATTTACTTTTTAGATAATAAGTTCAACTATTTTCCTTAATCACAACACAACGCTTTTCATTAACTCTCAGACTCGATTACTACCTCTTTCCCGCCCACCCAGTCCAACTTAAATTGCAGCTTTTCTACTTTTTGTATGTATAGTCATTCTTCATAATTTTAAGCATGGCATTGTTTTAAAAACTTATGTATCCCTGTAATTTTAAAATATTTATTTAATTTTACTTAATCTTTGCGAAAACTAATCTATTTACCTATAAAAAATCAAACTTTTGTATATAATGCTCGGCATTTACTTTTAATTTTTATTTTCTTATCTTTTAAACTCTTCATTTTGTTACCAAACTATTTGTATTGATTTCTTTTCTTGCTTACGGCTTGCAAGTGCTTAATTTAATATTCTAATTATAATAAAAAACAATATTGAAATAATAATTTAAAACGTTGTATTTTCAAATGGCAATTTAAATTGTAATAAGACCTGTTTGGCATCTAAATATTTACTCTCACAATTTTTAAATGGAATACTTTGTTTAATTAAGAAATATATCTTATCCAGGAACAGAATTAGAATTCTTAAATCCTTTTAGTGTTTTGCTACAAATCTTTGAGTTAGCTGTCGTGTTTCAATCAAAGTTGCATATCTGTCTAATATTTAAACCATATTCTTATGTCTTAACTTGAAATAATAACAACATGCCAAAGAATTGTTATAATAGGCCTTTGTACTACCACAACTGCCTCCCCACATTAAGTTCAACATTTTCTGTTGACCCCAATAAATAAAGACAAGCAAAAAATTGTCTTTAAATTTTCCAGAACATGGTCCGAATTTCAAACATTTAAATTTATAAATTGAAAATATTTCCTTTAAAGTATTCAAATATTCCTTGGCTTAATTGACATAATTTTAAATGTCTTCTTCTTAGTTTCAAAATAATGCTATCGCATTATTGGTTTTTATTTCTCTGTCGAATTCACAGTCCTACAGTTGTCGTTCAAAGCGTTAGTTTGTAAATACTTCTAAAGATTTTTTTTAATCAGAATGTGTATTGATATTTTGAAATTTCGTATAGTAAGATTAAGTTTCAAATCAGCTTTCAACCGCCTAATTGTCAACTTTCAAACCAATGCTTTCCTTTATTAGAGCTTTTTGTATCAGTCAAAAGTTTTTTTTTTTGTTATTTTTGTGTAATATTTGTTGTAATATCAAGCTATTTAAATGTATTGTTTATGTTCTAAATTGTAATATCAATAAATATTTTGAAATCGTTTTAATTATAATTTGTTAAAAAATATATGAAAAATCCAAAAGAATTGTTTTATTTAAAACTCAAAAAATGGATCCTTTTATGGATGGTGATTTTTTACCACAAAGGTTTATTTTAAATAATATTTATCCAGGGTCAATAGACGTGAACTTTTCAAGACACCGGATATTTTAAGAAATTTTTTAATGACCAAAAAATGTAAAAATATTCTTTAAGCGCCAATAGGCGCAGATTTTTTAAAGTATTTCTTCAAGGGCCAAAGAACGGATCGTGGACTTTTCAAAAAATAAATTTTTTGAAGAGCCAACAAACTTGAAATTTTTGCGAAGAACACTAAGAAATTACACTTCTTCGGGCTATGTTTTAAGGATCAACACAACCAAATGAGGACTTTTAGAGCAGTGGATGTGTTCTTTTAAAAAACAGATAATAAGGATTTTTTATAAAATGTTTCACAAGGAATGCGGATTTTTAGAAAATACCTTCCGTTTTCTAATGCAAGGGGCGTAGATTTGAAGAGATAGTATTTCTTCCAGACCTACGAAACTGGGGTTATTAATAACAATTTTTGAGGGGTTTCTAGAGCTAGGATCGTGAATTTTTTAAGAATATTTCTTATAGGACTTCCAGAGCTAGGAATTTGGATTATGTTTGTAATGTTTTTTAAGAATTTCCAAATCAATAAACGTAGATTTTCATTAATATTTTTTAAGGAATACCAGTGATCACAAAATATAGTTAAAAATGTGGAAAACTCAATTTTTAAGACGTTATGGCCATTTACATTTTATTGGTCATTATTTAATGTTAAATTAAATTATTATGTTCCTCAATATTTGAGGAACATTCAATTATTCATGAATAAACCAGTAAGGAAAGATCAAAAGTCGGGCGTGCCCCGGCTTTTATATATGGGGACCCACCATAAAGTGGGTGAGGCCGTTATATGGGGGCCATACTCAAACGGAAAACTATATAGGCAATTTTATACTTCAAAGATTGTCATCTACTAAATCTTCTTAAATACCAAATTTGAAAAAATTTCGTGGGTAAATGTGAATAGGATAATCAAAATACCGAGTAATAGTGGGTATTGTTATCTGTTCGCTATAGGAACACGTATACCTAAATCGTCAATGTTCTGCCGCCAGAGCTAGAACCCATTATGAACTATAAATACCAATTTCTAGATAAATCCGTGGAAAATGTGGCAAAAACGCGGACCTATACATACTATGTTCCGACACAGAAGCTTAAGAACTACAAATACCAATTTTTAAACAAATCCTGAAAAAAATTTTGCAAAATTATCAAAACACCGAATATCGAGAGATAACGTTATATGAGGGGTATACTAAAAAGTGGATCTATACATACAATGTTTCGCCACACGAGCTGGACAAATACCAATTATTTAGAGGAATCCGTGAAAAAATTGGCAAAAATCATCAAAATACCGAATATCGGGAGGTACCGTAATATGTACTTTTTAAGAAAATATTTTTAAACAAGTAAGCAACACTACAATATGTTAGAAGTCCCTTTATGTCCAAATCGATTTTGGAACATTTCGCTCTTGAAATTATGTCACGGAGCACTGCCCTGATCATCTGCCCAATATTTACGCAATCCGTCATGCTGTTAGTTGTTGTGATCCATTTTACAGCTAAATATAATCTAATGGTCATCCAATGGTCAAATGTAGAATCGTTCCCTGTTCTTTACTCTCTTCTCAGGCGTGTCAATTGGCTTCAATTGTGTTATCGGGATTTTTTTCTGTTTTTGGTTCATTTGAACCCCTAAATATTTTGCGATCATCTCCAAAAGCAAGTGGCCTCTCTGTATCTCCAAATTTAGACTCATCTATATGAATTGCTTATCTACGATATTTAGCTATATTTGTCGATGAAATCAGCATAAAAAGCCAGAAGTTAGCCTTTTGTGTAAGTAATATTGGTATTTTTTTTTTTTTGCACAAAAGTGATGGTCTATTCTACCCACTGTAATAAACTCTAACTTAATGCGGGATTTCGTGTCCTTTGGTTTCTATTTGTGACATTTATAACGGCAGCAAAATCAGCAACATTTTTCGTTTTTTGTCCATTTCAACCTCTAAATATATTGCGGACATCTTTGAAAACAATAGGCCTGAGCCTCACCCTACCCTTGTGAAAATTTTCGTGAAGATCGGGCGGTAATTGCAATCTGTATATAATAACCCCAACCTGTGTTGTAAGGTGAAAAAATATTACAAAATATTCACTTCAATATTAAGTCAAATTGAAAAAATCGCATGCGATAAAAAATATGAAAAAATAAAAATAATGCCACAAAGTACTACAAAATCTATATTAACATCATTATCGGCATCTTTTTACGCGATTTTTTTTTAGATTTTATTCTTTTATGCCAAGAGGGCATCCTTTTATTGTTGTTTTTATAAAAACAACATTTGTTTATTAGTGGAGAACGATGGTAATGTTTACCAGAGGGTAAGGCAGGGAATAACTAGGTTTGGGAAAGAGTCTCCCCAGAAGTTATTTTAAAAATAACTTCTATGACAAAAAACATTTTTACCCAAGTGACTTACCCCCTGGTAAACATTACCATCGTTCTCCACTAATAAACAAACTTTATTTTTATAAAAACAACAATTAAGGGATTAAGCCTGACCATTTTGCAACAACAAAATATATCCGATACTATCGGCATCTACGTAACCTGTTCGTCTATTTGTGATCTCGCCGGGATTAAAAATATTCGCGGTTTAATGGAAAATTTGACTTCTATTTAACACAAATGTAATGGTCTATTTCACCCACTAAATATTTCCCGATGACCATCAAAATTGGAAGGCTTCTGCCTAGCCCTAAGCTCTAGCTTCATGCTAACTTCCGTTTCGATTGGTCCATAATTGCGAATCAGGAGATTTTTCAGTTTTTGGTCCATTTTAACCCCTAATTATTATGCGATCATCTCCAAACGCAATAGGCCTCTCTTCTGGCTCTAGCCCACCTCCATTCTAAATTTCGTAAAGATCGGTCTATAATTGCGACCTGTTGAGTGATTGCAAATTAATATGGACAGACGGACATACATAGCTAGATAGACTCAGCTCGGCGAGATAGGAAGATCCATGTATACTTTTCGTTGTGGGAAACCAATATTTCGAGGTGTTACATAATTATACCCTACAACACTATGTGTTGGGGGTATTATAAGTTTGATTGGGCCAACAATTATGTAACACCACGAAATATTTATTTCCCACATAGAAAAGTATATATGGATCTTCCTAGCTCGCCGAGCTGAGTCGATCTAGCTATGTATGTCCGTCCGTCCGTCTGTCCGTCTGTCCATGTTAATTTGTAATCACGCTACAGGTCGCAATTATGGCCCGATCCTTACGAAATTTTGCACGAAGGTGGGGTTAGGGTCAGAATAGAAGCCTATTTCTTTTGGAGATGATCGCCAAATGTTTAGGGGTTGAAATGGACCAAATACTGAAAAAATTTCGGATTTTGCAGTAGCTATACAGGTCGCAATTACGCGAAATTTCGCATGTAGCTAGAGTAGGGCTGGGAAGAAGCCTACCAATTTGGGTGGTCATCGGATAATATTTAGCGGGTAAAATAGACCCGAAAAAATTCAAAATTTTTCATTAAACCGCGAATATTTTAAATCCCGGGGAAATCACAAAGCCATGATAAGGTTACTTCTGATCTTTACATTGATGTTAACATCCAACAAATCGAATATATAGCAAAATATGTGCGATATATATGTCTGTCAAAGAGGATATGCTTGAAAGATCTCTTATATGTCGAGAACGGCTGAACTGAGTTCGACAGTTCTCATTAATTCAGAATGGCCTCTTGGCAGGAAAGAAAAAAGTCTAAAAAAATCGCATAAAAATATCTCTCCAAAGCTGAAAATATTGATTTTGTAACATTTTCTCATATTTTTTCAATTTTGTCATATTTTTGGCATATTTTCATTTTGAATTAAAAATTTGGTAATATTTCTACAGCTAAAAAAAGAAGTAGTTAGGATATCAGGGTATCATATACAGATCGCACTTATGGCCCGATCCTTACGAAATTTTGCATGGGGATAAGATGAGGGTCAGAATAGAAGCCTACTATTTTTGGGGTTGAAATGGACCAAAAAACTGCAAAATTGTCAGCAGGTCGTAATTATTGCCCGATCCTCACGCGCATTTGAATGGGGGTTACGGGACATTGCAAAAACCAAGCAGTTTTGGATAGACATCCAAAAATATTCAATGTGTGAAATAGTTTGCCAACTTTTGTAGACAAAATACGAAAATATCCATTCCAGTGACTTTTTGTAGAATTCACAGATACAGGAAAGACGCACTTCTGACTATTTCGTTAACTCAGATTTCGTTGAAGAATATAGTCAAATGTCGGTATCTTATATAGATGTGTTTCAGTCAAAAACTAATAATAAATGTTAATCTCCTGCCACTTTTGAGAGGTTATAGGTCTTTGGGAAATATTGGTTCCAGATCTAGGAAGGCTATTTAAGTGCAACATCTACCAATAAATTGGAAATGAGTAAATTAGTTTAAGTTGATATTATTCGAAAATTAGAGAACGAAACCTGACGAAACCTGGTTTTTTTATTATTTGTCACAATATCTTGTGGAATTCTTTCGAATATCTCGCCTATATAAACTGTATCGTTTATTATAGTGTTGTAGGGTATTCAACGGTCGGCCACGCTCGACTGTTCGTAGTTCTTGAAAAATTTTTTTTTTCCAAAAATCCACGGCTGTTGGTTGTTCTTTATAAAGTCCTGTTGGTAGTCCTTAAGAAATTACTGGAAAAATATTCACCTTTGTTGGTGAAAATTAATTAAATCTAAGGATTATGAATATATTAAATTTTAAAATTAAAAATCAATGATATTCTTGTTTTTTTTTCACAAACACTC